ATTGTTGTACAGTTTTTGCAACTAGAGCGCAGTCATCAGCGTATTGAAGTTCTGTGATGAATTTTGTACGTGTTTTTGCCCTGAGTCTTTTTATGTGGAACAGACCGCCGTCGTATCTGTATCTAATGCCCAATCCTCTCTCCTGCAGTTTGCTGTCCACTATAATGGAGAGCGCTGCCATGAATATGTTGAATAGGAGGCGCTAAGATGCATCCCTGCCTAATTCCTGTATTTGTTAAGAAGGGATCGCTCAGTGATCCATGATGTGACACTCTTGACTTGTTGTTGTTATGGAGGCTTTTACACACTGTAAGAAATTTGTTGGGTACTCCGAACTTTGTCATAAAAAAAACAAACAGCAGTGTTAAACCTACGGTCTAATTCTCAATCAGTGTATGGCGTCCTTGAATTTTGCAAATAATGGATGATTTAGTACAATCAAGAGGAATTATGACCTTTAAACAATGTACATATTGTTCGTTACAATTGTATACGTATTTTTTTATCAAAATTTCATCATTTTCTTAACCGTTACTGTTGGTCTGATTATGTGACATTTTCTTTGCCATCTTGTCAATATTTTTTTATATACATACGAGGGTATCTTAAAAGTATTAGACCCAAGAAACGTACGGATGTATTTTTTTATTTATTATTATTTTTCTCTTGCACTGCATATCTCTTTACATTAGATATGCAGTGCATTGTTTCAAATATTCAGGATAATTAATTACAAAAAAAAATAATAATTTAGTAAACGGTTGATAAGATATTTTTTTATTTTAATATATCGGGTGCGTCTCAAAAGTGGCACAACTGTGTGTGTCACAACTTTTTTATTTTTTTAGATAAAAAACGAGAGTTGGTATGTTAGTATATGACATAAATTAGAGATTGATTGACGTGTATTCAATTGTCTTTGGTCACTTCCTGTTTCAGCGGAAATGACTATAACTTTTGATTTTTAAATGGCACCATAGATATCTTTTTACTTTATTTGATACAAAATGTCATTCTGAATAGTGATGACATATCATATGTCAACTTTTGACATTCTCGCTTAAGAAAAAAATAAATTTTAAATTTCAATCTAGAGTGCCATGGCTGTGTTAAAATCATTAATCATCAAATAGCATTTTTTGACGAATAATTTGATATCACACACTTGGTATTTCGAGTCAAAATGTCGTTAAGAACCGCATGTTAGAATTTTAAATTAACCATATACGAAAAGTTGACATGTCATATGTCATTCTCTTCAGAGTGACATTTTCAAACGAATAAAGAAAAAAATACCTAGGGTGCCATTTAAAAATCAAAAGTTGTAGTAATTTCCTGTGTAACAGGAAGTGATCGGAAACAGTTGAATACGTCAATCAATCCTAATTTATGTCATATATTAACATACCAAATGTCGTTTTTTTTACCTAAAAAATTAAAAAGTTATAGGGGTCAGTCACTTTTGAGACGCACCCGGTACATATTATTTTATACTCATATATAAAGTTATGGACAATTTTCAATCATAGACTTAAAATTTAATGAAGGTTCTCGTTCTTCCATCATTCTGTTGAGGTTATGGCCTTTCAAGTGTTTTAATTTGTACTATACATTATAACAAAATATTTCAAAAAGATAGTTATTAAATTGAAACTTAAATAATTACCTGTTATTATTAAAACACCAATAATTTGTTCTACAGGGTTGTATACCTTGTAGAAAATTTCTACTACTATAAATAATACTTACAACTTTGAAATACTTATGTGGGAAAATATTTCAGCATGAATGAGATATGGACAACTATCATTATTTATTTTAATGTGTTACTGGGGGTCAATTTTATATTGTACAATAATTATAATAAAAGCAAATACATCGGTTAAAATTTTCAACTTTCTGCAATATTTCTTTGACAAATGGTATCATATTTTTATCCGACCATGGTAGGCTATTAAGATCGGGAAAAAAAAGTTTTTTTAATTACACTCAAAGTGAGTTATTTGGGTCATAGATGACCTAAATACAAAATATTTTCTCATGGTTTCTGTCCGTCTGTAACACGATAACTCAAAAACCGCTAAACCGATTTTAACCAAATTTGGCACAAAAATACTGTGGCACCCGAGAATCTGGCCATTAGTTTTTGGTGGTGGTGGGGGGTTGGTAAGGGGGTATGGGAGGGGGTTAAAAATTTTAAAAAATCGTTACTCCAAAATTACAGTAGCTAGCGAAACGCGGTTTTCAATTTAAGATTAGGAATAATATTTGCAACAAAATTTGTAATAACATCAAAATCAGTCAAAGTCGCAGTTTTTCAGATATTCCGTGTTTCCGTAGTCCGTTTTTGAGAAAATCCGTGTGAAGAACTCCAAATTCCCATCGGACGCGACCCCAGGTGGCGGAGAGGGGAAATAACCGCGGATCAAAATTCGAAAAATTCCTTTACTTTGAACCTAAAAGAACTGCCTACCATCTTTTTATTAACATATTTTAGTATGGGCGGCTATATATTTATGGGTGTGCCTCCCGCCGCCAATTTTTATTATTAGTTTACAAAATACCCCTTCAAGCTTAGATTATTCTATATTCTAAGTTTGAAGTCGTTTTTTTGACAATTTGCAGTTAAAAATATTTATAAAGGCGGTTGTATTTATTAAAAATTAATAATATAGCAGAATAAAGTCTAAAGAATCTAAACAGTAATAGAAGATTTTGACAGACTACATCTAAGTGTGAAAAAAATGAATTTGCCGTAATTGGCTATTTTATAGACAATCCATATATCTACAAGTTATCGTAAAATAATTCAAAGAACTACTTCTTTGTTTTTCTTGGTAGAATAATATACACATATTTAATAAATATTATTTATTAAACTATTGTAGGTAAATGAAATAAAAGTAGAGACGGTATAAATTTAGAAAGAACTGGTATAAATTTAAATAAGTTCATAAACTAATTTCGATTTTGAAAATAGCTACTGTCACTAGAAACTTGCCTTGACACCACTAGCCATCTTGATTACAATCTTATTGAAAAATCGCTTTTTATTCAAAATCTGAGCCAGATAGGTATAGGAAACCCTAATATATTATGAAAGAGCATTTAAATCTGCTTCGACTTATTTAAAAAAATACATTTGTATTTTGTACAGTGTTGTATTTGAAATAACGAAGTTTTTATGTAAAATAAATATTTAAAATAGACCAGCAATTTTTGATACCCCTGTATACATTTAAGGAAGGAATAACATTTTTCTGTAAAGTTTATTTCTCTACCTTTAAACTCAGCACAGGTACTAATTTTGAAAAGTAATGTCCAGGGTGTTAATAATCTATTCTAAGGTAGCATGCACATTTAAATATCTTTAAATATCTCAAAAACAAAAGATTTTAAACATATTTAACTCTTATAATAAATACCTTTTTTTGGGCCAAAGAATCCAAAAATGAAATAAAATACCGAGTGTCCCATAAGAAAAAATATAACTTTGGTATGGATCTTAGTTCTGAAACACCCTGTACATTTCAAAATAATTTTAAACTGTGCCCCCACATTACCTCCCCACATATACCCATAAAATATTTTGTTTCTACATCTTTCCGTTTTCGTATAATCAACCGAGGCAAATGAGGTGCGCCACCCTGTATATTTTTGAGTTTCCAGCGTCTGAGTTTCCTGCGAGTTTTTTGACCACCAATTGCCTCTAATTGTCTTCTGTTCTTCCGTCAACAGATGCGGTATTTAACAAGAAACTATTTTCTTTACAGATAATTCTCCATGTAATTTTTTTTGAATTGAGGTATTTGAAATGCCCATTCCCCTTCAATTTCACGATATATGTGACATGTCGATCATCTTGGATCAGATCATCTTATGTACAGCATCGACGTTTTCCTGGTTGACTGCCGTTGTTGGTTACCCTGTTAAGCTAAGTCTAATCCGTTTACGTTTAGATTCTCCATACCAAAGAGAAATTGTCGAATGATATGTTGCTTAATTGCCGAAAACAGAAACCAAATCGGCAAGGCATTCTTGTCATCGAAAATTCTAAAAAATTATTGCGCGAAAATTTTCTCGGCTTAATTCCATTTTTCGACTGACCCGTCAACTTCCGAAAGTCAGTTTAGGTACAGCTTTAAACGAAGCGGTCTAAAACTTTGACGTTAAGTTAACTAAAGATGACAGTTAATTGTGACATTTGATATATTTCGAAAGACGCTTACTATGTTTCTATATGCAAAATATAAAAGACAACCCTCGTACAGTTCATACCAAATAAACTTTTAGTCACGTGATTAAGCTTGGCCCGCACAGCGTTGTCCACTTTTTACATGTCGAATATATCCATGGTTGGCAACAATGAATTTAAAAATCGCGCGCTCGATTACGTACAGTACGTCTGTCCGTTCTGTAGCTACGGGGTATCCGTGAGGGGGGAAACGACATTCTCTCGATGTTTTTCGTAAAAAATTAGATGACGCGTTCCATCAATAAAAATTCGACAAATTTGCAAGTAGCCAATAAAATGAGTGGGCGGAGCGATTTGCGATGACGTACTCGTCAAGTCGACGTATAAAATATATTGCTGTTTATTTAAATGTTTTTTGTCCGCATTCCTTTCATAGACACAGATCCAGCAGATGTACTGTACAGTACGTTTGTCCGTTCTGTAGCTACGGGGTATCCGTGAGAGGGGAAACGATATTCTCTCGATGTTTTTCGTAAAAAATTAGACGACGCCGACGCGTCCCATCAATAAAAATTCGACAAATTTGCAAGTGACCAATAAAATGAGTGGGCGGAGCGATTTGAGGTGACGTACTCGTCAAGTCGACGTATAAAATATATTGCTGTTTATTTAAATGTTTTTGTCCGCATTCCTTTCATAGACACAGATCCAGCAGACGTACTGTAACTAAAAGTTTAATTGATTTGAAATATATTTGTTTTCTAAATATTAAATAAATAGAATATTTATGTCAATTTTCTTCTAGGTTACGTAAACATTGCCGAAGGTGACGAAAAAGGCATGGAAATAGCCGTGTCCACCCAGGGACCCATTGCAGTAGCCATCGATGCCAGCAGGGAAGGGTTCCAGTTCTACTCAGACGGCATCTACTACGATCCCGAATGTGGCAACGGACAAGACGACGTAAACCACGCGGTTCTCATAGTGGGTTACGGGCAAGAACCCAACGGCCAAAAGTACTGGATGGTCAAGAATTCGTACGGGGCCCAGTGGGGTATCGGGGGGTACATCAAGATGGCGAAGGAGGCTAATAATCATTGCGGTATAGCCAATCAGGCTACATATCCTTTAGTCTAATCAAGATTGAAAGACAAATATCTAATAATATCCAGTAGATTCATTCAGAATAACACAGAGAAAGACTAGAAACACAGGGTCTTATCGTATATAGTGTGCTAGGGAGTATTTCACAAAAATATGTTCACTTGAACAACGTATCTCAAAAAACTGTGAGTGAGTAAGAGTGTAAGAGTGATATTTTTAATTGAACACATCGTATATTATTGCAGTTTTGGTTTCCTTTTTGATCGTTTTACGTAATCCTAGGTTTTACCATTGCATTTGTTTCAATAGTCACAGAAAGAGAAATAAGTAAATAAAAAAGAATACTGAAGCATTTTTTTAAAAGCATAAAAAATACAAGAATCATCCCAAAATGAAAAACTATGCTACATATTTACTACAATAATTGGTCTGTACTTGCTTTATCATGATACAATTCTTTATTATAAATATCGTAATCTTTAATATGTCAAAATTGTTCAAATATAGAACTTATTTTTTTTTAATTGAACGCTTTATACAGGATGTCCCAGAAATAAGTGCAAATATTTTAACTGGTAGTATATTTCGGCCCCAGAAACACGCCTGTGAGGCTTTTTGAGAAAAAAAATATTGAAAATTTTATATTTTTCTTGATATTTTCCGGGAAATTTGAAAAAACTTTTTAGTGCCACTTGTTTATTCACCTGAGGCGTCGAATAAGCTGAAAAATCTCGTGAAAAACTCTTAATAGCCGGTTATCGCCAGCGGTTCTCAAAACGTTGCCTCGATTATTTTAATTTATTTTAAAAATGGTAAAGAGAGAAGATGTTTCTTTTGACCAGATCTAAAACCACCCTTTAAAATGTCTGCACTTATTTCTGGACCACCCTGTATATCATTATTCCGTAAAATGCAGAATTATACAGATGTTTATTAAATACGATTTTTGAAACAGTAAAGTACAAGCTAAAAAATAATTAGGTGGTTTTGATAAAAATTTTCTTTTGAACTTTTTTTTAATCACAACTTTTTGATTGAATTAACTCCCAAACCAAACCAAACAAAGCAGATCATTTTCCCTAACTGAAAAAATATATCAATCTTATCTATCTATACTCTATACATCCCTCTAAAAACTAACTACAATAAAATTATACAATAGGTATATTCATATATCATACAATTGGTGTACTTAATGCATGTATTATTTTGTTACGACATTATTATTTATAATATTTATTTTGTTACGATAATGATATACTAGAAAATAATCTACTGGATATATTAGATAGAGTAGTAAAAAATAAATGGACAATATTATTTAATGTTATAAATAATCAGTTTAGTGAATAGCTTGATACTGTGTGATACATCATAGGAGATACAATATTAAATATTAAAATTTGTTGTCATAAGTACTATTTAAATATTTCTCGCAATGATTATTATTTCATAGTATATAATATTATATGTTTGGCCTATACAAGGTGACAATTTGAAAACGAACAGTAAGTTAATATTACCTCTACCGATGAATACGTCAATTTACATATTAAGGGGGACAATCTTTGAGGCATTTGTTGTCGTGTTACTTTTAACCCTTTGACCCCTAGGGCACCGATCCTAAAATTTTAAATGGCAACCCCTATTTCTTTTACACTTTCGAACACAACAAAATAATATTAACTAAACTAAACTAGAAAACCTCATTTTTACTACATCACAAGCAAATAAAAATTAATCCGTAGCCAAGAGTCATAATTCAAGATTACTTTGGGGGATGCCCAGCAGTAACGGGAGGGGGGGCGGCACCCCCGGGCACCCCCGTAGTTACGCCAATGGTTTCGCCAAATTTTCATACCATCATCGGTAGAGGCAATATTAAATACTGTTCGTTTTCAAATTGTCACCCTGTACTTTTAAACACAAAATATTGTCCATTTAATTTTACAACTAAATATGTATTTATTTATAAATTTGAGAATGCTCTCTGTTTGAAACGAAAATTCAAATAAAAAAATCATTGTAAAAAAATCTCAATTGAAAATTTCTAGGATTGTATTTGTTTCACATTGATAGCATTCTAAATTAGTCTATCTAAAATAAGTAAAAAATAATGTGTTTAAGCATTCTCAAGGTGCCACTTTTAGACCAGAATTTATTTTCATTATTACTAAAATTTTTAATGTAAAAAGAAGAAAAATGACAATTTGTATTATATTTTTATACTGCCACTTAAATAAGTTATTTTAAAAATGTAATAAATGTAGATATTTGTAGAAATAAAAATACATTTTATTTATTCTCCATTTTCCTTTAGTTTATAAAAATACACGTAGTTAAAAATATAGAAACTCTACAGAAATTTTTATTCAAAACATAAAAAATGTTCAACATTTTTTTGAAGAATCCTTGAATCAAAATATGTCACCGTTAAAAATATGTATTTGTACTTATTTAAGACACACTGTATAAAAAAAACTACTTTTTATTTTTGTCACTCACGCCATAAATATTTTACATTTGTCTTGAAACACCCTGTATAAATGTACAATTTATCTATCCCGTATAATGTAGTTTTTGATAAAAAAAAACAAACTACACTACAGGTACCTATACCGAGTGTTTTTCAAAGGGGCTCACCCCTATAACTTTTTTATTTTTACAGATAAAAAATGAAATTTAGTAAGTGTGACATAAATTAGGATTGATTGACGTATTCAATTGTTTTCGGTTACTTCCTGTTTCACCGGAAATAAGTATAACTTTTGACTTTTAAATGACAGCCTAGGTTTTTTGGGTATTTTGTTACTTTATTCGATAGAGAATGACTCTCTGAATAGAATGACATATTATATGTCAACTTTTGACATTTTCAAATAATAACATGCGATTCATAACGATAAGTTGAGTCTAAATACCAAGTGTATGATACCAAATTATGCGTAAAAAAGATTTTTTTCAAATATGCTAATGAGCCACCCTCATTCCATTTGAAAAAATTGAGTTACGATATATTATGAATACGATTAGGGGTTGATCATTTAACCGTCCAGGACAAGACAAGAAAAAAACATTAGACGATCAAATCTATTTTTCCAAGTCTCCTTGATTAAAAATTGGTGTTTTTAATTTTAATACAGCCATATGGTAGAGGTGTTTAGTTCGTGAATGAACTAGTTCCAATGAACTATTCCGATCCCGGAATGAAAGGAACTAGTTCCTGATTTCTCAAAAAACTAGTTCCTCAGGACCTATTCCGGGATCGAGACTGTGACCGACATAGAATAATATGCAACGGCGACGGATCGGCTAGGGCGCGTAGCGATGGTAGGCAGGAGTGGGGAGTGCCAGCCGTACGTTATCGGATCCGGACCTAGAGGAACTAAACCACAGAATATACTAACGAACTAAACTAAATAAAAGACTAGTTTACGTACGAATAGATCGGGCCAGCGCGATCGATGCTAGGCAGGAGTGGGGAGTGCCAGCCGTATGCCGTATGTTATCGGATCCGGACCTAAAGGAAATAGAGAAACTAAATAAAAGACTAGTTTACGTATGGATCAGCCAGCGCGATTGATGCTAGGCAGGCGTGGGCAGCGCCAGCCGTATGTTATCGGATCCGGACATAGAGGAACTATTAAAAGACTAGTTCACGGGTATCTATTCAGTCGGCAGATCCGAGATATAATACAAGGCGACGACGATGGATTCGGCCTTGTCTATTGCCACAGCCGGCGCGGCGTAATTACCACAGAAATTTGTCGTGGATACTGTTTTCGATTTTTAAATATTTTATGGAAATGTTTCACTTTAGGTTCCTAAAACTAAGAAATATCTTATAAAACGAAGTAGATATTCTGAACTTTGAGACAAAAACAAAAAGCTTGAAGTGAGGAAAAATACAATTTTTCGTAAAATTTTTGTAATATTTGCTCCAATTGATTTGTGATATAGTTTTTTAAATTCTGATTTGAGTTTTTTTATTTTTTTTTATCTGCAATAAAACTTACTTGTATATTTTTAACATACACAATTACACGTCTCGTTATATCTCCGTACATATATAAATATACATATAAAAATTATACAGATCATACTGTGAATAGTCCTGACTGACAACGAAACGCATTAGCAAGCAAGGGGGATGTCAATGTTAGTCGGGAATTATTGTGAACTAAAGACCTAGTTCAAGGAACTATTCCTCTGGAGGAACTAGAACTAAGGAACTAGTTCCTCCCAAGGAACTAGAATTCTCACCTCTAAGCCATGGCACAGAATGAAATTTAAATATGATTTTTTTAAGCGAGAATCGAAATCATTCTTTTCAGAGTGTCATTTTCTATCGAAAAAAAGTAAAAAAAATACCGATAGTGCCATTTAAAAATAAAAAGCTATAGCTCTGGCTCGAGCTCTGGCTATAGTAATTTCCGGTAAAACAGGAAGTGACCGAAAACAATTGAATACGTCAGTCAGTCCTGATTTACTTATCTGAAAAAATGAAAAAGTTATAGAGGTGAGCCACTTTTGAGAAACACCCGGTATAATTAAGAAATAAATTAATAGAAGAAATATCAAAGTCCGAAAAAAAAGACCGAAGAAAGCTCATCAAAAAATAGCTATCAAAAAATAAAAAAATATTTTAAAGTTTTGATATTGATCAAAATAATCGAGACCGTTATGAAAATACCGTATGATCGAAAAAAAACGGCGTCAAAAAGGGCTGACAAATGACAATCAATGATAATTTTGGCGAGGTCAATCTGTAGACGTCGTTTAATAAAAATTGACATAAAACATGTCAAAATTAACACCAATTATTGAAAGATTATAAAAGGATAGAACGTTTCCAGGCACATAACACAGTTTGATTTATATCTTCAATCTTCATATCGATAAATCATTTTCTATTAAACATGTTTGTTGTTCAATCTTTGCGGAATTTTATGATTTTGTAGAAACGTATAGCAATTTATCATTATTATAAATGACTAGTGATAGACTCAATAATAGATATACCCAATGACATCTGCTCAAAAGAAAGTTTAAAATTAATGTTGTAAAGTTCGACATTTTTAACGTTACTAAAGAAATTGTGGAGAATAAAAATTAACGTATACAGGGTGTTCAAGGCAGAGCGTGCATTAGAAGTTTCTAGAGAACCACTATATCCAGATCAGAGATTTTTTGCACATCATTGTTTTAAAACGAGATCTATCAATTAAAAATATTTTCAATATGGCGGCACTTCGGGAAATACCAGTTGACAACAACTTTCTTATTTTAAATGGGTGCCCTTATTTATTATTGCATACTTAAATTCTCTGTAAAATTTTATGAATTCTGATATTAAACACTCTATACCTAACATTAACCGTTTTTGAGAAAAAAAAAATATTTAAAATTTTTGAACATGAAAAACTGCCTGTCAAAAATATGTGTATAGCCTAAAAGTCAAATTTACTGATTACCATAGCTACTGTGATATAAAGAGAAGACAGGTAGCTGTCATGGAATTGAGCGATTAAAAAATTATGATAAATCATTTTCTTCAAATGGAAACTCACTTTTTTTTATTTTACTAGGGAAAAGGTTTTGCAATTTGTTACTTTTTAACTATACATGTTCCTACACCAAAAATAAATCGTTTTTAAGTTATTCAAGATTTAGTTTGAAAACGTATATTTTTCTTGATTTTATCTAGCTTCCTTTGACATTAAGTGTCAAACAGTCAGACAATTTATTTCCATCTCTCACGAAACGAATTATTTGAATTCCCTATATTGTAAATACTTCCTGCCCTAAGTGCTTAAAAAGTGTATTTATAAAAATATATCTCGTATTTTCGCTCTTTAGTGATGATATATAATAGTGGATCTTATTAATTATTAATCAAATACCGTATCAACCTTGAAGAAAAAATGCGCAAAGTTGACTTGGAAATGATGATCGATTGTTATCAGTTCAAACAGCAGTATGTTTACTGCTGTTTGAACAAAGTGTCACAATATGACATGACCAGATCTATTGTTTTACATCACTTGACGTTTAAAGTCATAGGCCACTGGTTAAAATCAAGAAAAAATATACGCTTTAAAACTAAATCTTAAATAACTTAAAAACGATTTATTTTAGGTATAGGAACATGTATAGTCAAAAAGTAACGAATTGAAAAGGCGGGTTTCTATTTGAAAAAAAGATTTATGATAATTTTTTAATCACTCAATTCCATGACAGCTACGGCCATTATTATATGACATTTGAACAATTTAATCTTTGAAATAGATGAACAATTTAATCTTTGAAATACCACATGTCTTCTCTTTATGTCACAGTGGCTGTGGTAATCACTAAATTTGACGTTTAGGCTATACACACATTTTTGACAGGCAGTTTTTTTATCGTCCAAAAATTTTTATTTTTTTTCCCCATAAACGGTTAATGTTAGATATAAAGTGTCTGATATCAGAATTCATAAAATTTTACAGAGAATTTAAGTATGTAATAAAAAGTGCCGCCATATTGAAAATATTTTTTATCGATAGATCTCGTTGTGAAACATTGTGCAAAAAATCTCCGATCTAGATATTGTAGTTCTCTAGAAACTTCTAATGCACGCTCAGCCTGGGACACCCTGTATATGTTCATTTGTGTACAGTGTGTTCATTCAGTAAATTGTTCATTTGTATACAACGTATTATATTTTTTATAATACAATAGGTTGTTATAATATATTATTTAGATTAAGAATATTTTTTTTTATAAAACAACTACAGTAAATGTCAAAAAAAATTGTTTATACAACAGACAAATGAAATATAAGAATTCTTTTATAGAAAAATTCAACTTACATATGTCAAAATTTGACAGCTCTAATGTTTTTTTTTGATATTTCGAAAATTACACTGTGGGGTTTCAGACAAGACTTTTAAGCATAATTTAAACTTTTTTCCAAAACCAATTGCGTAGATAACTACTGACTAAAATATCGGGAACACCCTGTACAGATAGTTTTAGATAGTTTTGACAATTTCATTTTTTTTTTATAAAATTTCTAGAAAACGATTATTTCTTCTTTCAAACAAATTTGAAACTCACTCGGGATTCCCACAAAAGGATCAAACAGAATAACATAAATAAACATGATAATTTGTTGTAATTCAATATCTGCATTTAAACGCAAAATGATAATAACAAGCGTGATTCCGGTGACAGATATAAATACACTTATGGCCTTAAAAAATATAATAAAAATATGGTATTAAAAGTGTTTTTTCGCTACATAACGGGTTAGTTAGAGTTTTCTATATTATAGCTTCTTAATATGTCAGGTTTGAAAATATTTATCTATATTTGTTTAGTGATAGTGAATAATGCCCAATTTTCGCCACAAACGATTTTAAGTAATGTAAAACCAATGAACATTGATTTGAATCCGGCTGCTCTAACTCAACAATGGGAAAATTTCAAGGCAGGTATTTCAAACATTTGAATATATCCTTGTTATACAACGTGTTTTTTAAATAAATGCCCCCCCAAATTATGTTAACCAATACTAATATATTAGGCCAATAAAATTAAATGGAAAAAAGCAGTTTTGCGGAATTAATTTCCAGCAAGCTGGAAATCGATTTAATACTTCTATTAGGTCCTAAATGCGTGTTATCTGAGTTTGCACCATCCCAGATGGTGAGCTTAACTTTTGGTAGTCAAAAACGCCAAATTTTTCCACCTTTTTTAGTTTATTGCTTGTAGCTGGAAAACCAGGGTTGGCATGATTTAAATCATGATTTCAATCGTGATTTAAATCAAGTGATTTTTTAAATTTTAATCAAACTTTATTATAAATCAAAAAATAACTGTTAAAGTTATAAAAATTTGTCCTAGAAAACTATATAAAATATTTCTATAAAAGATCGTCGGTCGTGGTCGTCAGATAATAAATCGAAAAATAATTGTTAATATTATAAAACTATATAAAAATATCTATTCATCAATTTAAATGTTGGACCGATTTTTAAAGTAATTTCGTGTGAATCCATTAGACCGCTAAACGCAGGGATTTATTTTAAACTTTATGTATAAGTGACAAAAATTCGCTGTTCGAATACATATCATTCGCAGTCTAGTGCCAGAACTAGGTTCTTCTGATATAGAAACTATATCTTCATTCCCGAGAATCTATAATCGTTATCAGGAAATATGTTTTATATTTTTTTTTGAAACGGTTGTTTTTTTCCAAATTCTTACCGACATTTTGATCTGCAGTAAATATTTTACACTTTGACATTAGATAATACTAATTTCATTCTCGACTTAAGACTATTTCCGAACAATAGTGTATTGTTCTTATTAGGAGTAAAAATTATACATTTTTACTCCGAATAGAACATACTATTTTTTTTAAACATTACAAATAATTTTTTAATCAATTTCAAACATTGCAAATAATATAAACAGTAATCGAGCAACAATTTGTACACTAGTTGAATTTGACACTTCATATCAGTTTAATAATATATTTTTGTACTTTTGTGCTTAGGCGTAATAGTGCTTTACTTTTACTTTTATGCCTAGACGTTAAAATGACAAAAATTAATACTTTTGAGACGTTAATAAAAATCCTTTTGATCTGAAGCGAGTTTTGATTTCTAACCAAAATTTTTCTTGACGGGTAAAGGTGCGTATTCACTATCCGAACAAACGAACGAACGAACGAGCGAACGAATGGAATTCGGTATATTTGGACGGGGAACCGAACGCATGCGGCCATTAGTTCGTTGGTTTGCTCCACCATCCGTTTCGAGTCGATACATCAAAGGAGTTCAAAAACGAATGGGTAGATGTTGTTCGTTCAGTTCTAAAATTCGGTCCCGTCCATACTACTACCGAACGAACCAACGAATGTTCGTTCGTTCGTTCGGATAGTGAATACGCACCTTAATCATCAAAGGCCAAAATGACATTCCTCGCAAATTTTGAAATATAATTAGTGAAAAAGTCAAAAGTTTGTTAACTTTTTCCAATAATTGAAAATTAATACCACTAATTATGACGTTCTGAATGCTTACATTAAAATTAGGTGAACAAACTTCTACGGCCAATTGAAACTACTAATTTATTCCACTGATTTCGAGGTTTTGAATGAAGCTGTAGAATAAACAAACTTTTAACTTTTCCACTAATTATACTTCAAAATTTGGGAGGAATGTCACTTTGACCTTTGATTATCATCCATCAATAGAAATTGTGGCTAGAAATCAGAAGTATGGTTTTATAAGCTAAATATTAAACTTTCTCTATGGCTACAATGCAGTAGTCAGCTGCAAGCTGTTGCTAGAATATTCTATTAATTTTAATTATGTTTTTTAGACATTGTGAATGATCGTAAACTAAAAAGTATAAAGTGTAATTGAAACAACTAATTTATTTAACTAATTGCGAGGTTTTGAGTAAAGTTTAATAACTTGGAGACTGAATAACGTTTCACATAGTCCTTCCAATTACTTACCATCATTTAGTTGTACAAAAAACAGCACATTTGTCAGGTCATCGCATTAACATTTAATGTATTCTGCTCTGCTCTTTCTTCTTTGATCGAAAATCTATGCATACAAAGCTATAGCTTCATCTGTTAATCCCACCAGCTTTAAATGCTTCTCGTGCTTGCAATGCTCTATTAGTAGACCCTCAGTTTTGACAGTTTTCGTATCATTAGCCCCCCATACACCAGAAGATTTGGCCTGCGAATTTGGTCGCGGCGCGGCATAGAAAACAAGTTCTGTGGATTTAGTCCGAGGACTTGGCCTATCACGCACCAAAACTCTCGTATTTTGGACAGCCATTAAAAAACATAAAACCTAGGACAGAAACAGGACAGCTCGCTAGAACAAAAGAAGTTTTAAAAAATGTAAACGGCTCAATCTAGACTCAAGACTTAAAGGGGCTCTACATGCCAAATCGCACAGTTCAAATCTTAAGACCAAATTGATAGCGATCTTTTCATACTACAGGTTCAGATTTTATAAAAGATAATTTCGTCAGTCTATTGTTTAGACCATTCTCGCTAAAAACTGTGGTCTGTGCAGTTAAAAATATTCAGCATGTTGAAAGACAGCACGATCATCTCTTCGATGGGATCTTTATCCAAGCTGTCACCAAACGTTGAGATTTGTTCTACATCGAAGGACTGTATAGTTCGAATCTCTCAGATATCGTTGCGTGTAGGGCCTTGCCGGTTAGATCTTTGCCTGATTAAATCCGCGGACCAAGTCCAAATCCGCTGGTGGATGGCCAAACCTTCTGGTGAATGGATGATTATTTCTTATCAAGCCTGCATCTGTCTTGGTAAATTGATGTTACGACACCGCAGAAGTATTCTGAATTGAATTATTTTTATGGTACAGGAGTTAGTTACAAAGAGCCTTGAAGTTCTCAGTAATTACAGTACTAAACAGTATTTAAGAAACTGTATTTAAAACCTTATAATTTTTTAGAAAGAGAACGGTAAAAACTACGAACGTTTAGAAGAAATCCTACGTTTCGACATTTTCAAAAACAATCTAAAATTGATGTTCGATCACAATCAGAAATTCCTCAGTGGTCTGGTTAACTATCATATCGGAATCAATCAGTTTGCTGACATGACCAAAGAGGAGTTTGTTAAGAACATGTTGAAAGTGGAAATGCCAAGAGGAAGATCTAAGAGGCGGATTAAAGAACACGAGAGATTCAGAAGACAGATCGTTGACAGAATTGATTGGCGTGACCGGGGTGCAGTCACACCGGTGAAAAATCAAGGGAATTGCGGCTCGTGTTGGAGTTTCAGTGCAGTAAGTACAGTGTTCCAACTCCAAGTAAACTAATCAGTACTGAAGTGTTATGAAGCTCCCCCGTATACTAAGTGAATACTTTAATACCGATTAGTTTTATACCGTGTGGTGTATCGGAACAGGGGACATAGGAAATCTCATGTAAATTTTTAACTTCTTCTTTTGTTATTTCTAACTATTTATCTAAAAGGAATTTATTCTGAATTTAGCGCGCGGTAACTGTACATGTCGAACGTCTGTTTGTTCTCTGTCCTCTTCAGGCTCCAGGCATCGGCTTATATATGAGAGAAAGAGACAGTCCCGATTTAACTTGAAAATTCTTAGCCGCGTTCTTCGTCTCCTCACCGGCTTCTATAGTCTGTCCAACGAGAAGATCCTTGACAGTGATAGATATGTCTGTCATTTTAATTTCAGAGTAGTTTATTTTATTTTACAAAGAAATAAGTTGGTACAACTGGAACGCATAGCAGGAAATTAATATATATATTTAAAATTTGACTGACAAGTAACTTCAAAATATTGTGAAAAAAACTGTATAAAACTGAAAAAGTGTAATCGAGTTATCTTATTTAATAAAAAAAGGTATGTGTTAATACAAAACAAACAAAAAAAAGACACCACATACCAAAAAAATATGAAAAAGAACTATTTCTTACTTTCAAGCTTTATAAAACTTCCCGCATTTATGATTATATTTATCAATATAACTTATGTACAAATACAAATTTGTAATATTCCGCAGGAATAAATAAAACAACATAAATAAAACAAACTATTTTATCACATTATCATCAACTATTTTATCAATTTTATACCTCACAGGTTGATTAATTAACTTTAATCTTAATTTCTTTAAACCAGTACCTTTTGACATTATTTTTCTGCAGTACTAAAATCCATTATTTACCTATCGTGTGATGTCGATATTTTACAGCTACTCCAGTTTTTAGTATAGCCCTTCTACCATATTCGAGATGCACTTATCTACGACGAGATGGTATACGAACTTTATTGATAGTAACTTTATTGGTGTATCTGTATAAGACTTTCTGCCTGGGCAGCGAGTATTAACCATAAACTGTGCTCTGGGTTCTACAGTTAATTTTCACTCGATTTTTCCTCCACTTGACTTCAAAAGACACAAAACACAATTAATAACACGAATCAAAATGCATCATCTTCCAAAACGCAGGGTATTTGACAAAACTGACAAAAGTTGACACAAAATTATAACCTATAATTTGGCAAGACTTTGACAAACGTCAAAAATATAAAGGCGAGTTCATACGCATCGGCGTCCGTTTGTCGTTCATCGTTCCGTCAAACCAATAAAATTGAAATACGTCTGTCATTTTTTAAATAAACCAATAAAACTGGTTAAAAACAACAAGAGACGACGCATGACGGATTTATATTTAAACTCAAAGTTTTAAACCCATCCATAGTTAACTTAAAAATTATTAGAAACTTTTTTTATTAAAATAAATAGATTGGTATGGGACGTCATCTGCTTTTCTTCTGTCATCGTCTGTCGAAATCTTACCGGAGAAAAAAAAACAGAGTATATTTGTTCTCGAACACTTCTCGAACGGCTGTTAAGAAGAGAATCTTTAGCATTCCACAGAGGTGTCCTTTTCAGTCCATCTAAGTTTCTGTATTTAATATGCCCATAAAAACGGTTTTTGAGTGTGCTCCACGGGAAGAAGTCATTCGGCGAATGATCCTGTGGTCTTTTCCTACTGTGTTCTCCAATAAACGGGAGTCAATGTTTTTCTTTCCTTCAACTTGAAGAATATTCAATTCATTCTTATTCTTCCTGTTCAATTATATTTGTCTTCAAACTTCCATGTGCTTAATACCTTAGTGCCTTTAGTTTCAAACCTGCGGCTTATTATTTAAACTGGTTGACTTTTTCGGTATAGGATTTCTGGAGACTGAGCTGCTAACGTATCTAACACATCGGGTATACTATTTCCAGGAAAATGCCGTTTAACTATCGTAACTTTATCAGAAGTTGTGAAATTCATAATTTTTTTATACAAAATTACGTTGTTTGATACCTTCAATTTTTTGTAAACAAAATGTGACATCGAATTTGACAATGACACAATCACATTTTTTGATGGTATTTTAATTGTAGCTTTCTCTGGACCGTATTATAAATTTTACTAATTGGAAGGTAGATTTTTGCAAATAACTTTTAAATGACTATTCCAAATGAAACGAAATTCTACACAAAGTACAACTTTAACGCCTCTTCAAAAAAGTCTAATACAACTTTTGCATAAAATCATCTGGGGAGATAATATTTGGCTTTTTCAAAATTAACATTGGATTTTCTATGTCTCGTGTTCCAATGCACCACACGGTATATGGAGTTTGACGGGATGCAGAGACCGTCACCCTGTATATACTCTTCTAGATCGGTTCTGTAGAAGGCCAATACTTTTTGAAAACCGGAAATTTGGTGTCTCTAAGCGAACAGAATTTATTGGACTGCGCCACAGATCAGAACAGGGGCTGCAACGGAGGTTGGATGACCAATGCTTTTGATTATCTGAAAGGACACACAATCACTTCAGAAGATGCTTATCCCTACTATGCACAACAACAGCAATGCCAATCTCCTTATGCTCCTTATCGGATATCTATTCAAGGTAATATCTTGTTGAATAAAAAAAATACGGTCGATGGAAGCTCGGCATAACATTGCAGTTGGTGTTTCCGGATATGTTGGGTGGTCCAAACTGTATTTTGCAACATATTTTGCAGATAAAAATAAGTAAAATAATTCGTATAAACGTATGTCCTAAAATGCTTAGTTTCGGGGATACAGGGTGTAGATGTTTCATTATGGACAACTCAAAAGGTACAAGGATATTTGCCACGAAAACTTAAAGAGGGTTAGCATGCAGAATGAGTAGGAAGAAGCAGCTCACAACAGAACCCATTGGAGAAGAATTATAAACTCAGTTAACAGCGACAACCAAAAAGTAAAGAGGCAACAAAGCAATGAGATTTTTGAATGTCCGGAGTGCGGTAGACAGATAACATCATGTATCGGGCTTATCACGTATCAGTCACAGAAAAGCTCATGAAAGAGAACGCCTTGCGTGACCATCTTCTGATGCGTGTCAATTTTGACGTGTGATTTTTTCTAAATAATTCCTGAAGTAACGTCAATATTTGGATGAAAATTGGTGTCAGGGAGTTTTTTGACATGAGAAATTTTGATTTTGATATCAATATGACTCATATTTGTAGAGCGCGCCACCTCCATGTGTTTTAACTGATTTGAAGTGTAATAACTTTTCGTCCGTACCTGTATAAAACTATTGAGTGAAAAAAAAAATACATTTCCGTGATTTTTAAGTAAAAAAATACCGTATGATCGAAAAAAAACGGCGTCCAGTTGGCTCGGAAATGAACATCGTTGACATTCCCCATATAATTTTACATATAAAATGACAGCGATTTTCATTTCATAGCCATCGCTGACGCCGTTTTTACTCGATCATACAGTATATCTTGGTAAAAATCGCTACAAGCAACCGTTCTCACGATTTTAGAGTGGAAATAGTCAATACATGTCAATATTGACAAAAAATAAACATATTGAGAACATAGTTATTTGACTCAATCTTTGAATAAGAAGACTAAGGAAGGAGCATATCAAAAATCTTAGATCCACCGCGATGGGCCTCAAATATGGCCGACTTAAATTCCGGTTTGTCAGTGCCGTTCTATGATGTAGGGTAGACGTGGGGTAGACTCAATAATATGTTGTTTTATTTGACGTTGTGAATAAATGTTGGTAGTTATTAGAATTGTTACAAAAATATATAATTCTAATAAAAATACATAAGTTATAATAATTATTTATTAACACAAACATCCGATACGCTACTGAAGCAGGTAAATCTGGTAAATCAAATTGAGGTATCTAAATTCTTTGACATCTAATCTTTGACAAGTAGTAAATAAAAGCAAAATTGCAAGAAAAAATATATAATTAGTTAATTTAAGTGAATTTCATAAATGATCGGTTTACTACACGTATGTATATTATATAGTCACTTACTAGCGAAAAGTTGTTCCATTATTTCACTCAATTTTTGCCGAGATCTACCGCACGCTACACAACCAACTATTTTAGAATCTTTTTCGATAAAACGCGATAGTGGCACTGTTAATTTAAGTTCTGCCACAATTTCCATCTAGATTTACTACCTTTATACAACTATCAGTAGTAGAATAAATAATAAATAACATAAAATAAGTTCCGTAAAGACTGACAAATCCACAAAATTTCAAATCAAATTCAAATGTGTCAAATGAATCGTCAAACAGAACTGTCAAGGATCCCCACCCTAGAGTGCTTTTTCCGTCCACCATGCATGAATACATGGATAGCATTATGCTCCTTCCTTAGTCTTCTTATTCAAAGGACTGAATTGAAAACTTTATTTTTTTAATCATAAATTTTTCTTCGAAAATATGGTGATAAAACAGTTTTCTGTTGAACTTTTGGCAACTTTTGGAAAAACATTTCAAATTTATCATTTCAGTCTAGTAACTATTTAGTCAATATCAAAGTCAATATGTTTATGTCAATGATGACAAGTATTGATAATTTCGGTTCCAAATAAATCGAGAACCATTCTCATAGGGATTTTTACCAAGAGACCTTTTTTACGTAAAAAAACATCATAAATGTATATTTTTTATTCAGTAGTTTTATACAGGTACGGACGAAAAGTTATTACTCTTCAAACCAGTTAAAAAATATGTAGGTGTCGCCCTCTACAAGTAGGAGTCAGATAATCATCAAAATCAAATTTCTCATATCAAAAAACTCCGAGACAGTAATTTTCATCCAAATATTAACGTTACTTCAGAAATTATTTGAAAAAAATCGAAATAAATATGTAACGTCTACACCCTGTATCTCCGAAACTAAGCATTTTAGGACATACATTTATGCAAACTTTTTTACTTATTTTTATCTGCAGAATATGCTGCCGAAGTTTCCGGAATACAGTTCGGACCACCCTGTATACAGGGTGTTTCAAAAAACCATGTGCCATCTCTCGCGGGGAGATTCTTGTTTCGTAAATACAGGTTGTTAAAGTCTTATTATTTTTTCGATTTATTATAATTTTTTTCCAAGTGCATTTAGTTTTTCGAATGAAATTTTGAGGGTAAAAGTTACTATAAATGCGACATACCGTATGATCGAATAAAAACGGCGTCAGCGATGGCTATGAAATGACGATCGATGACATTTTCCATATAATTTTACATATAAAACGACAGCGATCTTCATTTCATAGCAATCGCTGACGCCGTTTTTATTCGATCATACGGTATTTTGAAGCTAAGTCCACGACCACACAGAAAGCGTTTTTTGCGTTTTTAGCGACTAAAATAAAATAACAGGATTATATAGGAGTGACCACACCAAAAACGTGTAGCGTTCGGCGTGTCTCGCAAAAAACGCAAATGAAAACAAATCAGTTTGGTTTTCTGTACCGTTTTTAGCGTTTTCTAAGATGAGACCCAGTCATAGGCGGACGTTATATTTAATAATACAATAAAAATAAATTAAATAGTATCCATTTTTTTCATTTTAGGATATTATCTAAAAATATTTTTATAAAGAACATCTACTGTTTAGGGAGATTTTATTAAATTCAAAAATTTGAAGGAAATGTTTGAAAAAGTGTAGTTTGAAATGTTTAAAAAAGTAATAAATTAAAGGAATATTTTCTTACGCGTAAAAAATAGTTTTTTATGGGTAAAAAGTGTTTTCTTTTCTGCGTAGAAAAAATTTTCTTAACGTTTTTGACGCGTAAAAAATACTTTTTTACACGTAAAAAATATTTTTTTGGGTAAAAGAGTTTTTTAATAGAAACAATGTTTTTGACGCGTAAAAAATAGTCTTTTACGTGTAACAAATAGTTTTTTACACGTAAAAAATATTTTTTTTTGCGTAAGAAAGGTTTTCTACCAGAAACAATAAGTTTTTGACGCGTAAAAAAATAGTTTTTTACGTGTAACAAATAGATTTTTACACGTAACAAATAGTTTTATACGCGTAAAAATTTTTTTTTACCAGTAACAAATAGTTTTATACGCGTAAAAAATAGTTTTTTACGTGTAACAGTTTTATTCGCGTAAAATAATAAAAATAGTTTTTTACGTGTGACAAATGTTTTTTTACGCGTAATAATTTGGTTCACTTTTACAAAATTTGTATTAAAATATCAATATTTTTGATAAACACGTGAACTGCTCACAAATACGACGCGTCACTACGTATTTCTAAGCCGTTAACACGTTTCGTTACAACGAGCTCGTGTGTCAGGGCCGACACACTAGCTCGTATGTCACGGCCTTCAATTTTTACTCCCAGCGCGCGTAAAGTAGTTTCACTCCATAATGTTTCATAAATCATGTCCTAAAATTGCATTAGCAACTAGAAATATTTACTATTCTATTATATAATTATAATTATTTATTATATTATATTATAATTATAACAAGTACTAACTACAACACTACAACATAAAAAAATATACACATATAAACTAAAATTCGTAAAATTAATGGCAAATAATAATTATTATTTTTACACACACCACTGGCACTAGCAGTAGATTGTGTTTGTCTCCGAATATATGCCCCGGCCCGTCCACAATTCAATCCCAGCATCTTTTTTCTTCGTCTCTTCAACGCTAACGGCGCCGATCTCGCCTATCTCTTTCTCACAGGATTAATTGTTGGACGGGCCGGGAATCCACGAGCTTGCGACGTTACTAATTGACATCTTGATAGAAACTGCGGACCTGCTGCGTCTTTTGCGTGTTTTTAATGGACACAAATCGCTTAAAACGGTAAAATCGCAAAAAGCGCTTGAGACGCAAAAAACGCAAAACGCTAAAAACGCTTTCTGTGTGGCCGTGGGCTAAGAAAGTGTCGACATATTCACCAGGGACGTGCATATGGGTTATCACTGGAATATTTTTTCTAACAAAAAGCATGTACGCCACTGACTTTTTTCTCTTGTTAGCGAAATAATGTAAGAAGTTTAATGCCGATTAAAAGTTTTGACGATTTACCGATTTTTTCGATTTCGGCCTCCCTGATGAGATAAACGCAACTTTATTAATCTGCCTTGATCACCAACTTTAAAAAAAATAATATCATTAACTAGCGAAAGTTTTAAATAAGTACTCATTAATTCTTTGAGATTTGATCAAAAAATATAAAAAAAAGATCCTATAAACATGGGTACGGAAATCCATAGTTTTAGAGTTACAGGATGTTAAATTTTTTAAAATTAGTTTTTTTTAATTAACTTAAATATCACTATTTTTTTTATTTGAAATTGATGTAGCTTGGACTAATAGTAATGATATTTAATAATAAATTAGGTAAAATATATAGATAATTTATTAATTTTGTTTTTATTTTAATTGTAATTAATAAAATTGCATTTATCTCATGAAGGAGGCCGAATGCGACAAAATATCAAGAGATAACTTTTAATTATTAAACAGCCTACACAATTTAAAAATTATTCCAGTGATAACCCATATGCACGTCCCTGATGAATTTATCGACACTTTTACAGCATTAAAATATGTAGCACTTATGGTAATTTTTACCCTCAAAATTTCATTCGAATCGCTAAAAGTATTTGGAAGAAAATTATAATAAATCGAAAGATTATTAAAGCTTTACTTAACACCCTGTAGCTACAAAACAAAGGAGAATCGGACGTATGTTGATATAATAAATAAATCTTATTTTTACGTGAGGAATCTCCATACGGGAGATGGCACATGTTTTTTGAAACACCCTGTATAACACAAATATCTTTTTGAAAAACCTTCGCCAATTTGTCACAATTCACTATTACAGAACTCTATTCAAAAACTGTTTTTCGTTTAACTCTAGTTTAACTGGTTTCAGCTATTCTAAAGTTGAAAAACTGAAAATTATGCATTTCTACAGAAAACTTTTCGTTACTTTCTATTTGAAAAGGCTTCCAAATACAGTACCCAAAACAATTATCGCATATTTGAATAAAAGTAATTATTACATATTTCTAAATGAAGCATGCTTTTTTCTGACTTTCTCTTGTGATATTTTTTAGGATAATTAGGGTACGCACTGACATGTAATTTTTAATCGACTGACTATTTAGTTGCATGTATTTTTAACCGATATATCCTTATGAAGCCGCGCTCACATGCAATCAAATAGTCGGCCGATCGACTTCATAAGTATGTATTGTTTTCACTTTTACAACTAAATAGTCGGTCGACTATAAAAATTACAGGTCAGCGCCAGGCCCGTTCCAGGGGTATCTGGCGCCTACGTGCAGCATTCTGTGGTGCGCCCTTTTTATATTTAAATCAATTATATATTTTAATCTTAATCTCAAAAATTTAAAGAATTTATATTCTGCGACAAACGAGCAATATGTAATTGGAAATGTAAAAAAACCTATTCTAATTAAAGTATAAAAACATTTATTAAATAAATAAAACAAACAAAACCACAAATATTTAGTAACAAAAATAGTAGGTACCCTAAAGAAAAAAACTGACCCATTTTATATGAAATACATAAAAACAATAAACTAAAATTCGGAAATAATATACATGTACTGATTTCTTTCGAAAATCGACAACTATGAAACTATGAACCCTTCCCGGACACAAACGGTACATCATTGTGAGACAGGAAATTGTAGAGAGAAACAAGCCCTATAACATAGGATACAACATTTTAATGAACAGTGCTTTCCATAAAATCAATAAAATGAAAAAAATACGAAATAATATACATGTACTGATTTCTTTCGAAAATCGACAACTATGAAACTATGAACCCTTCCCGGACACAAACAGTACATCATTGTGAGACAGGAAATTGTAGAGAGAAACAAGCCCTATAACATAGGATACAACATTTTAATGAACAGTGCTTTCCATAAAATCAATAAAATGAAAAAAATACGAAATAATATACATGTACTGATTTCTTTCGAAAATCGACAACTATGAAACTATGATCCCTTCCCCGACACAAACAGTACATTGTGAGACAGGAAATTGTGGAGAGAAACAAGCCCTATAAGATAGGTTACAACATTTTAATGAACAGTGCTTTCCATAAAATGAATAAAATGAAAAATAAATAGATGAGATCAATGTGTTGCCGACAGATTGCCCTAGACTTGTTTATTCGGTGCGACCAACGCAAAAAAGACGCTAAGCAAACTTTATCCTATGATGGTTTAAGTATTTGTGTATTGGCAAGAAAGCGTATCGGTTTTTTGTTACAAAGTACTGATTGACCCTTTGATTTTGCGCCCCCAAAATGTTGCGCCTACATGCGTGCACGCACTGCACGCTCGCCAGGAACGGCCCTGGTCAGCGCATAGGCTTATTGTATCGAATTTCCCTTCACAGTATCCGTACTATTTAAAATCGTAAGTCAGGGAATTCAAAGTGTCTTGTTTTTCAAATTAATACATTTTTTAGAAAATATGCGATAATTGTTTTGAGTAGCTTACTAAATAAACAAATACTTCTAACATAACTGATTGCAGCTAAACGAAATTTGATTATTCATGTTACAGGTTACGAGACTATCTCAAACGAAGGTTCTCTACAGCAAGCAGTAGCAACAACGGGCCCTATTTCGGCAGCAATGGATGCTTCCAACCTCCAGTTCTATGCAGGAGGTGTGTTTCGAGATGACGACTGCAACTCCAACTCCGTAAATCACGGAGTTCTTATTGTAGGATACGGATCCGAGTCCGGAAGGGACTACTGGTTGGTTAAGAACTCCTGGGGTCCCAAATGGGGTGAAGAAGGGTACTTTAAGATAGTACGGAATAGGAATAACCAGTGTGGTATAGCTAGCTACGGAATGTATCCCATACTGTAACTGAATATATAAAATTTACTTACTAATTTCAATTATTTGATTTGCAAATTTAAAGGTAATTCGGTCACTGTGGCGCCTTTTTTTATCATATTTTGTACCCTTAGATTAAGAATAAAAATTTATACCTTAGGTACCCATATCTACCAAGAATTTTTATATTTCTAAGTCAATATGGAGATATGCAAAAAGCAAGATAAAAGAATAGAAATAAGTAATCTGTCCAAACGAGTCAAGGAAGATTTCGAAGAGGATTCATTTGAACAGGAAAAAAATATTATTTACCTGTAAATAAAACTGACAGACAATAAATAACGTTACTTTGAATGTGGTAGACAATGATTCAGTATTAAAACTAAAAGAATTTCGGACTTCCATTGTCCCAGACGTTTTCTTTCATGAGCTTTTCTGTGACTGAAAAGCCCGATACGTGATGTTATCTCTCTTCCGCACTCTGGACTGCTCTGGACATTCAAGAATTTCATTACATTGTTGCCTCTCGACTTTTTAGTTGTCATTGAGTTTACATCATTTATTTTTATTTTGCTTACGCAACTTACATTTCCATACTTGGATTGCTAAAGATTTTTTACTATTGTTAGAAATAAATACGACCAGTGGCGGATAAAAGGGGCCCGCAGGGCCCGCGACTCGGTCCCCACTTTATTTCAAAAAGGCCCCACAGGTTAGGAGAAAAATATTAATACTGCGGGGGGAAAGCCAAGTCCGTTATTGAAATTTGTTAAACAGCGAAAAAATGCTAACCCTTTTGCCTGTTTAAAATCATACATTCATTATAATTTTATTTTTGAAAATCGATCTGGAACATACAGCGTGCCATAATCTCACAAAAAGTCTGTTGGCATCGTACGCCGGACTGCAAGCGCTGATTAAAAATCAGCAGCCAAATGCAGAGTTTTACCGTGGTTTTACATTGTACCGCACACAATCTGAATCTCGTAGTTAACGATAGTGTCAAAAATATCTTAGAGATTTCAAAGTTTTATGATATTTTAGAGGAACTTTATGTATTTTTTAGTGATAGTTCCAACATTGAAAAATCGCCGACAGAAAGTGGCGAAACAATTTTTCGACGAACTTGCTTATTATTATTAGGGGGCCCTCATAAAAAGTTCCGCGGGGGTGTCCCCTAATTTTTATGTCCGCCACTGAATACGGCCCCTTTAAATATGCGCTTTTTCCAATGAGCCCATATAACACAACACAATCCTATAGATATCTTGAGGATATCCACCAAGGATATAGTAAATATCTTAAGGATATCCAAAAACCAGAGGAGGATATGGGATATCCAGATGGGACAAAAAAAGTCATCTTCAAGACATCCCTAGGCAAGCCTTTTACGATTATTTGGGATATTTATAGGATAATACAAGGATGATGTTAGCAGTTTATGTCTAGCAGCAACAGTTTACATCAAAGTTAGCACACAGGATACAGGTATAATTTCTAACACCACACATTCCAGAAACTCACAATTTAAACACAAAAATAGGATTTCTCTTTAAATAGATCAAACACGAAAATGGGTTTAGGGATAAAGAACAAGCGCTTTTCAACAAATTTTCACCTATAATTTTGTCACAAATTTTTCATTGTGAGACCCTGAGTCGTTCGTCGTTTTTCGTTTTTCGGCATTAGTTGAGGTTAGGATAGAATTTCTGCTAGAACAAGGCTAGAACTATGAGTATAAGAAAAAACTAAGTCAAACTCAACCAGTTTTGATAGTTTCAGTCATTTTTAAGCTCATTCAATATCGACAAACGACCGAATTCACCTCGAATTTCACTAAATCAAAGAACTGAATTGGAACCACATTGGAACTGAATAATACATAGTAATGTGGATCGGGTAAATACCCAGCGGGTAGGTAAATAAATTTCGGGTATTTACCCAGGTATTTACCTAAATTTTATTTACCTACCCGAAACTGGGTATTTAAAAAGAAAACGTTATTCCTGTAAGTATGCAACACCCTTGTCTGGTGGAGAGGACTACGTGGAACAAACTCCATTGCTGAGGGGTCCATCAGAATTCTAAGTGCTCCCGTAACCTCCGCAGCTACTGAAAGAACTTTTAGTACGTTTAGCTGGATTCATTCAAATAAACGAAATAGGCTCACTACCGAAAGGGCAGCTAAAATAGCGTATTTATCTCATAATTGGAAGTTACGAAATAAGGCTGATAACAGTGACAACAAAACAGTCAGTCCTGTCACTCCTGTTTGTTCTATTCCTGCAACAAATAAAAATAGCCTAGAAGTCTCGGATCTGCAAACGTTGGCAGCAACTCCATCTACATCTTCCACTTTTCGACCACCCAAGAAGAGAAAAACACTTCCAGAGCATGATGTTGATTTAGATGAGGACGAAAATAACCATTACCAAACAAGCGAATCGGATTCAGACCTTGAAATGGAGGAGGATATTCCTTATGCAGACACTGACACTGGGTCTGACAAATTTGACACTGACCCAGATTCATAATTTAAATTAAAATTAAAAAAATATTTCTAAGTACTTATATTTCCGAGTATATTTCAAGTATTAAAGTATTACACGTGGTAGTAGATTTTTTTTCATTATACCCTGATATATACCCGATTTGGGCAAATTACCCGGGTATTTACCCAAAAAAATATATACCCGGGTATTTTACATCACCAATAATACACGATGCAAAAACAAACAACTGTCGAGATGGATTGTGGGAAATTTTTTGCGCGGGCGTTTTAAATTCTCTGTATTACTGGGAGTGGCCAAGCTCATAAATATCCAGATTATCCAGAAGATACCAACAGAATATTTTGTTGCCTTGACGTAATATATATCTATCTGTATGGTTTATTGCATTTTATGTAATATAAAAAGTAGTACATTATTTATTTTTCCTAAATATCTATTCTGAGACATCTACAGGATTTCAGGATGTCTGGAGGATATCCTATAGATGTCTTTATAAGGTGATCTTATAATGGGACATTCCGGCATTCTATGAATATCCTGCGGATATTGTGTGTTATATGGGAGGTTCTTTGTGGACAAACCGGCCTTCCACCCGAAGACCCCCGTGGACTGGAAAAGCCCAATTGTGAATCCAAAATACAACCACTTTGTTTTATTTTATTTTTATTTATTTATATGTAGTGATATAACAAATATTAGTTCTTGGCAATTCGCAAAGATGCGAATAAATCTACTGCCAATATTCGGAATACAAATGCCAGTAATAATTAATAGTTATAAAATATTAATAATTAATATTAAAAATTGTAGATGTTATGATTCAGTAAAATAACACAGTAAATTTGGCACTTAAACGTAAAAAAAGTTACACATCAATTTGATAGTTTTTTAAGCTCTTTCCTTTTAAAAACTCTGTGACCGTAAAAAAGTGGTTTCACCTGGAAAAATGCACCAAAAACTGCGTTTGAGTGACTTTGGCGCCCTTTAACTTTGTAACCGTAGGTTTTAGAGATTTGTTACTTAGAGATGAAACTGTATTCTCTTCATTTTTTGTTCCATAAAATTTTCTGTGGGACCTACGGTTCAGCCAGAAAATCGAATCCAAAATTTTGTTGAGTTTCTTAAAAAGCGGTGGGGTGGGGGTATACAAATTTTAGAATTTAAGCTTTTCCAGTGGACCACTTACGACTGGCAGAGTATGAGAGCAGGGGTAATTTGATGGGAGTCTAGACCTTTTTTATGCCAGATTGCCTGTACTAAAATGAACTTTTTAAATGTCAATTACATTTAAATTTTTAGAAATATATTTCTTGTGATATTTGCCAAAACACCTAGATTTTATCTGTGCCTCGATTATATCTGTGATTATCTGATATCAAACTGATACCAAATACTAAAGTAAATGTTGCAAGACTATATGTTAAGTTACATGATAAACGTACTGTAATATATAACTATCTTGATAATTATATTAAAAAATCTATAGTAAAAGAAACCCTCACTAATCTAGGATAAAAGAAACTCAATTTAAGTTATATACAGTTTACTAATATAAATAAAATGTAATACAATAAACTCTACTCTTCTGAATTATATATGTACATTCAAATATGTTTAACACAGAACTCTATATTGTCTGTCTTTGTAAGCTACCTCGCCCCTTCGAAAAGACTGTTCCCTATCGGATCTGGTTTTATTTAAGTAATATCCAAAAGTGAACATTGGAATCACCATTATACTGAAACCGAGGAACGCATTTAGGCCGGAAGGTCTGAAATGTTCGACGGCAGTTACGCTCATCGAATGGAAACGTTGAAGTGCCGAATCAAACTAGAACAAAAAAATTGAGTATGTAATAATCAAAAAATCTGATGTTTTGATCCCTAATGTTGACAGTAGACTATATATAAGTTTAAAATCCAAAACTCGACTACAGGTTAATTGAAGGATAACGGGAAAAAACCGACGATGTCCATTTTATGAAATTTTTAAGTAATCATCTTAATTTGTTGAGAATATTAAGTCCCAAACCACATGTTAAGAAGTTACGAAAATATTCTTCATCTAAATACTTTTAACGCAAATATAAAGCCTTTTTTATGTTATTAATCTAATTAAAACAGGCCTCAACATTTTAATTAAATGTTATGAACTCAATATCGTAAGAAATTATTAGGTAACAACTAAACATATACAAAAACTATAAATCAACATACCACATGACCACCTGCACCAGTAGCATGGACAAAAGGGTCAGATTTCAGTTTCAAATATTCGTTGCGAAGAAAAAGTCTTCTCTTGGCTTTTTCTTGGAGAATTTCTATTTGATTGGGCGGAAGATCGTATTGTTGAGACATTTTTTTTTTCTGGACGTCAGTGATACCAGTGATACCAATTCAATAATTGAACGAAACTGTCAAAATTCATTCTAACCAACATACAAATATTAAGTCTTCTTTTCATTTATGTGGCTCATTCTACAACAGCAATCATATCAGATCCATTAAATATATGATAATAATATACTTGATCTATGGCATATCCTTCAATGTTGCCAAATAATTCAAATAATCTGATCACTATTGTTTTTAAATAGACTCTGACTGGCCGTCGAAAGGCGCGTGGTCGTCGTGAAACAAGAAGAAGAATTGTTTTTAAATTTTTATCATAGAGGTAAATAAACGTTGTTATAGATATGTTTTTATTAAAGTTAGCAAAACTATCTACGTTTATTATTTATGAAAACGATAGGTAACTCTCTTGAGAGTTGTGATTATTCATTCTGTATATAATAGACAGAAAGACAGGAAATAATAATAATAGACAGAAAGACAGGAAAACAATGACAAATCGGCCAAATCTATTGAATCTATTTATAAGTACATCTTTGTACATCGTTTTATGGCTTTTTCTGGGTACAAATATTCAGACATAATTGATAAATATTTATATATTTTAAAGCACGTAATGATATCAATTCTGAAAAGGTCGAACAGGGTTGTCAGGTTGCCACATTCTATATTCTTTCCGAATTAATTAAACGCACTTTGGTAATTTTATGATACATTTAATTTTGAAATACTAGACAAGAAATTTAATATTGCTTGAATATATATGCTTATAAATTAAAAACTTATTGATACAATAGACAAATGAGTAAATGAGAAGCAAAATATCTTGTCTTTTATACTAGAATAATAAAGAGTTCAAAGTCCGGCAACGCTGGACCAAACTGCGCAGCTGTTTTTGTTTTCGTTCCTTTGTTTGGTACAGGAAAATGCGTATTTAGGAAGACCAAAGCGTGACCAAAGGAAGACAGAAAGAAATCACTTTGCAGACAGTTCGTAAATAAGTAGCTCCATTCCAATTTATGGTCACTCAGTTGAAAAGTAGCTGTACAACCTTATAGACTTGTTATTGTAAGTAATTTCATTTATTATAATAAATAAATTGTTTATTTCTGCTTTATTGTAACTGCTTTTCTAAAGTATCAATATATGCAAGCATTTTTAAGAATTTTATGGTCAATAAGAGGTCATAGGAATCGATGTTAGAATACGAAATTTTTCACTTTGAATACAAGGTGAAATTATTGATTAATTTGAAATTATTGTGGTACCTAACATGAAATTGCATATTATTATACCTACGTATAGAAATTTCTCAAATATTTAGTCATTTTACATCTATAATTAACTATAAAATGAAATTCTGAGCTGATTCTGAGTATTCCCACAAATTATTCCAGGTATATTTTTCTTTGTGTTCGTGTGTCACTTTATAATTCTCTCGAAAAAGTCGTATTTCAAACGTCAAGCCAATTATTTTCATTATTCATTTCTATATGTTATTAGTGCTTCAACAGTTTATTAGGTAGAAAAAAAATAATATGATCGAAAAAAACGGCGTCAGCGATGGCTATGAAATGAAGATCGTTGTCATTTCAGCTTTAAAATTATATGGGGAATGTCATTGGGGTTCATTTCTAAGCCAACTGGACGCCGTTTTTTTTTTGGATCATATGGTACAATAATTTATTTTGATTTTTTTATTTCCAGAATAATTTTAAAAATAACCACTTCATGAATTTTTTAATATATTATAGAGGAGTTAACAAGGAACTTACAGATATATTATTAACTATTTATTAAATTAATACTGTATTATCGAAAAAAAAACGGCGTCAGCGATGGCTATGAAATGGAGATCGCTGTCATTTTATATGTAAATTTATATGGGAAATGTCATCCATCGTCATTTCCCAGCCAACTGGACACCGTTTTTTTCGTCAATCATACGGTATAAAAGTAAGTAGAAATATATAAGTATAAAGGGAACTGACATTTCATCTAGGAGATATTATGTCAAATAATTTTTTGTGATATTCTACTGAGATGTTTTGCACTGATGCATTTACACCCTGTATAGTCAAGAATACCTTGATCATTTTTATATTAAAATATTGAGTCACATTGTTAATGTTATTGAGCTGTCAATGTTTATGTTCAATATTTATACTATTGTAAACAGTATTATGTTTGTTACTGTAATATTGTTGACACATACTTTGAATTTTTATTAACACAACTGTGTTTATTTACAGATATTTCACTAAAAAGATGAAGCTGTTACTAATTCTGGCAGCTGTAGTCATAAGCTGTCAAGCAGTCTCTTTCTACGATTTAGTACAAGAGCAATGGTCATCATTTAAGGTAATTATTTATTTATTTATTTGATTTAATAAAAATAAAAAATATGTTCCTATATCAAAACTAGGTTTGCTAGGGTTTTGTTAGAATTGATTTCTACTTATTTTATTATAAATATCAAAATTGTTAAATTGTAAAATATTTTTCTTTGTTTCTTAAAAAATGGAACATACTGTATATTATTTTTCTTTAAATGGAAAATTAAAAACGAAATGCTATTTGTATTTTAAAGTGTTTTAAACATTTTAACATTATGGCAGATATTCGGTGTTCGGTGTACAGGGTGGCTCGAATTCGACGCTCATCATTGGGATTTCGGAAACCGTAAGAGATACAGGATCGGTTAAATGGAAGCAAAGTTGCGCAATTTGATGCACAATAAAATGCCGTATTGCATTTTGAAAAATTCCGAATACTTCCGAATATATTCGAAAAAAACGGAATTTTCAATTTTGTTTTCTTTTATTTCCTGGCTTTATTTGTTAAGATAACTTAAAATGAAAAACACATTTTCATGGCCACTTTTTCTGCTCTATAACCCTGTGTGATTAAATATTGACTCTGACGTTTCGCCTTCTGGCGACCATCATCAACTTAATTTTTTTAAATACGGACCTGATTTTTTTTTTCAATTTAATTAAATCCTTTCATCACTCTTAAAACACTATATATAGTCACTTTGATATTTGCCGACGTTTCGTACAATTACAAATTCCATCACCAGAATATTTTATGCAAAAAAAATAAAAATAAAAATGCAATACGGCATTTTATTGAGCATTAAATTGCGCAACTTTGCCTCCATTTAACCGATCCTGTATCTCTTACGGTTTCCGAAATCCCATTGATGAGCGTCGAATTCGAGCCACCCTGTACATATATACAATATGATCGAACAAAAACAGCGTTAGCGATGGCTATGAAATGAAGATAGCTGTCATAATTATATGTAAAATTTTATGGAGAATGATTTTATCGATCGTCATTTCGAAGCCAACTAGACGCCGTTTTTCTTATTTTTTTTCTATCATACAGTAGCTCTTTCTACAGAAATTTGTTTCCCAAAGCCGCCCAAGTGATTTATTTTAAGATTATTATTTTTGTAAATTAGTTTCTGGCTGCGTTGGTAATTGGTAATATTTCATCATGAAAACAAATAAAAGCAAATATTAAACAATAACAATCCATTATAAATTTAAACCATATTCTTTAGTGATGTTTTTTTATTAGCATTTGTTTTGTGGTGAAATATTAACTACACATATAACCATAATACAAACTGGTTTAACAAATACTAAAAGTAATCAGTTGTTTATAAAATATATAAGGTTTTATTTCAAAACAATAAAAAAATAATGGGAACTTTTGAGTTAATATTATTTACTTAGTTATTGTGTATATTTTTTGTCCGGTTACTTCATTTCACACTATCCCGGTTACTGTTCATGTTGATCGCATTGAAACGCTGATCAAACAAAAATGTGAATATATGTACCATATTAGATCATTGGTTACTTTTATGCCACAAAAATATGTGTAAAATTTCATCTTTTCTGGAATTTTTAGACCTACTGAAGGCATCAAAATATATACATTTTTATTTTTTTAGAATTTTCAGAACTTGCACGCATTAATAACTCTTCAAATAATAATATAACAAATTTTTCGTGTACTTGCTATTTAAGCTCGTGTAAAAGTCGGTATTTTATGGGATTCTCCGATGCTGGCAGCACTGTCGGAGAATGCATCAAGCCTATACAAAATTGCCTTTATATTTTCCAAGTGTTTCCAGAACCACACCAGAACTACGGATTTCGGATATATTCTACGGACGTACGGATTCTCTTCCAATAATACGGATTTTCTGTCATTATTCAATTTAACATAATATTATATGATTAACACAGAGTCAGAGTTGCCTTGAAAACATATGCTTGGAAATAAAAATCGCTGTTATTTCTCATATGTAAAATTATATGGTGAGTGTAAATGATCCTCATTTCCAAGCCAACTAAACAACTTTTTTTGATCATACGAAACCTATAAAAAAATCTTTGGAAATTAAAAATTTTATCTATTGCCCTCGACTATAATTTATAACAATAAAAAATTGTATTGATTTGCAATACTTTTTTGTTTCATATATTCATATTTTTGTACATGTACTACGTAGCTAGTATGTAGATACTTTAGAATGGTACCTAATATAATAATAAAAATGTTTATTTTTTATTTTTGACATTTATTTTATGATTAACATGAATAAATATTTTATTCATCTACGGATATTTCGACAAACGAAATACGGATTTTACATTTGATCATCTGGCAACACTGTATTTGCTGCTGAATAAAATAATTAAAAAAACAGAGGTGTGGTGAGATTTTAAGTAGTCGATTTTTTATAGGGTTTTGATTATTTTTTATGAGCACCCTGTTTGATTGTATTTAATCACCAACCTTGTATAATATTTAAATCATTTTAAACGGGAATGTACACATTGTACACCACGAAATATCGTTGACCTAAAAAATTCATATTTTTATCTAAATTATATCCTAAATTATTTTTAACGAATTGTGCGAATCTCTGTTTTTATTTTGATAGATATTGGAAATTTCTGTTTGATTATACTGACATGATTACAGTAGCTGTTAATAAGGGTTAAAGGTTTTGATGTCAATAGTTATCTTTAGCAATAAGGATAAACTATTTATAAGCATATTCTTTTAAACTGTTTGATAATGACCATGTGATGATATGTTTCTTTGTTTTGGACTTAACTGACTGTGATATTTGTATTTGTGATAGTATGAATACGTTCTTTGCTTTTAATAAATGATTAAGAAATGACTTTATTAGCAGTTTGTAGTGATAAGCGCAGGGGAATTGTGTACATTTTTATTACACATTCTACATATACAATAACGCATGAAGTTTTTATAACAACTCTTTATTTTGAAGAATTTTATACCTATAATCTTGTGAAATATTAAAAAAGTTAAGATGTTAGCTTGCAACTGTTGAACTCTTCGATATATTATATCGAAAATCTTTTGCTAGAATAAAAATCATTAAAGTTTACATGAAAAATTGTGTTTTGCACTATATGCGCATATTTGAAGTGAACTTCTGCCCCTCTGTCCATCTGTCCGTCCGTTTGCAGGGTGGGACTGTGTGCACCGTCGTTCACATAGCCTACCCACCAAATTTGGTCACGATCGTACAACATCAACTTTTGACGTTGCTTACGTCAAAACTAACTGTCACAGTGACACGTCAGTGTGACACAATCAAGTTGGCCTTAGTTCAGTTTATTTTAGTCACAGTTTAACTGTCACAGTGACACAGTCAAGTTGGCCTTAGTCAGTTTATCAATATATCAAATTTCATTTAAATCGGATAATTTTTTCGCCATTGATGATGGAGTTTCGTAGTGCCCAAAAACGACGTCAAAATATCACGAAAAATACGTCCAGAGATTCAGCTCCTTAGCTCCCATGGGGCCCGAGTTGCGACGCTCAAATATCGTTACCACTTTTATGACGCTTGGCGTGATGCCAGCTCGTGGGTCACGGCCTTGAATTTTTACTCCCATCGCACGTAAAGTTTCACTTCAATAAAAAAAAACTTGAGTCAGTTATAAACCGCATATTTTTTATGAACTTTTGTACTGAATTTTTGAATGGGCAGAATCATAGAATAGAAAAACTAAGGAATAAATAAACAAAATTAGCAATACGTCGTGACCTCGAAGGTACTTTAACATGACTGAATTCTAATTAATAAAGTAGGATAAATTAAATCAAGGGTCAATAATGTTATTAGTTATTCAAATTGTTAAGAAAATATAATTCTAAAATAAATAAGTTATTGTAATTGTTTAATAACAAAAATACAGACACCACCAAGAAAAAATAATAAACTTGAGGTATCTTAATTATGTTTGTCAAGTAAATGAGAAAATGCAAGAATAAAATCAATTTATTAATTTTATAATTGATTGCTTTACTACTCGTAACCGATTTTACAGGGTGATCCGAATTGTATTCAGCAAAATTTCGGCATCATATTCTGCAGATAAAAATAAGTATAAAAGTCCTTATCGAGTATGTGCTAAAATGCTTTGTTTCGGAGATACAGTTACATATATACAGAGCAACTGTTCTGAAGATATTTGGAATGGAAATAAACAATACATATCATTGACAAAAATAAACATGTTGAATAGATAGATTTTTTTTAATTAATCATAATTTTTTTTCCTAGATAAAAATATGATAAAATAGTTTAAAAGTAATAATGCAATTTCTACACCCTGTATATCCGAAACGAAGCATTTTAGGACATAAATTTATACGAACTTTTTTACTTAATGTCATATACAGAATATACTGCCGAAGTTTTCCGAATACATTTCGGACCACCCTGTATAATCACTTACTATGAAAAGTTATTGCAATATTTTTCATGATTTTAATCTGGGAATCGAGTTGCATAAGTTAATCAGTTTGTTTAGTTAGTTTAATCGCACGTTGCATACGTAACAATTTTCGAAATCTATTTTCGTTAAGTCACAATAAGTTCACTAATTCCAGTCCCAATACGATGTCTTCTCAGATTTATACACTTTACATAAAACCAAATACAACAAAAAATAATCACAATAAACACACACATCAAATTGTAAAATTTCTAATTTATTAAGAGAGAAATATCAAACCCTCCAAAAAAAAGGTTGCTATGACGTCTCTCTCTGATGTTTGGATATAAAAATGGAATTTGACTCTCTCCTTTTCGGCGTTTTTAATATAAATATAAGCGAGAATAATATAAATGACCAGTTGACAGACAGAGACAAAATAAAAAGCGGCATATAGTGTTGCCGGTTTTCACGTTTGCTGGAAAATGTGTGTAGACGAAAATAAATTATTTTAAAAATTTTCATGTATACTACTGAAATGAATATAATATATCTAAGCTAAATATAATCCATTAGAGCTGTAGTAAAATGAGTAAGTAATTGTGAAAAATTAAGTTCCAACCCTAGATACAACATTTTTCGTAAACGCCTACTGGTGAGGTTTGATATTTTGATGCAAAATCCGGCAATGCCGCGTAGAAGAAATATATCAACCCAACTTTTTTCTCTCTTTAATACATTTGATTTGTCATTAAGCTACCTACATCAGTGTCTTACACGTTAAAATCCAGACCACACTTCTAAAATGACTAGGTCGGTATATAACTTTTATACATATTTTCAGATGCAACATTCCAAAAATTACGACAGCGAGACTGAGGAAAGATTCCGAATGAAAATATTTATGGAAAACGCCCACAAAGTTGCCAAACATAACAAACTATTCTCCCAAGGCTTTGTCAAGTTCAAGCTGGGTTTGAACAAGTACGCCGACATGTTACATCATGAATTCGTCTCTACGCTTAACGGTTTCAACAAAACCAAGAACAATATCCTGAAAGGCAGTGACTTGAACGATGCAGTAAGGTTTATCTCCCCTGCAAATGTCAAATTGCCTGATACTGTTGATTGGAGGGACACAGGAGCTGTCACTGAAGTCAAAGACCAAGGTCACTGCGGGTCGTGTTGGAGTTTCAGTGCTGTAAGTATTAATACTTTTTTATAACTCAAAAAGAAAAGGAATGTATGTAAAGGGTAAGGGAAAAACCAACGATGTCCATTTTATAGGAATTTTTATGTTATCAACTTGATCTGTTGAGAATACCAAGTAATACCACTTTTGTAGAATGTTTAGGAATGGAGTTAATCACCGCGACCTTACATATCTATTGTGTGCTTCCCTTTCTTGAGTTATAACGAGTTATAACCTTCATCAAACAGTCTCAGGGCTTTACAAAAGCCAATATCTGAGACGGCTCCACAGAGGCCAGCTCTCCATTCTCGGCATCAGCTGTACCAAAGTTCATGGCACGAACGGTCGTCGTCTCGGCGCACTCAGTGATAAGGTGTTCTAGTGTTTCCCCGTTTTCCCCACAGAATCTGTATTCCCTGTTGTTTCTCAGCTTCAGCCTACTGAGGTGTTCGTTGAGTTGATGTTCTAAATCAGTTTTGTGGCATCGTCTGTTTTTTTCCATTATCCTCAACAGTATAATGAAACTCTTGTCTACTCGGTATATCATATGCCATTACTAATTGTATATTGTTTTTGGTGATTAAGAGCGTGGTTGACAAATGCAATATATTTTTTATTTTCCAGACCGGTTCACTCGAAGGCCAGCACTTCCGTAAAACCGGCAAACTAGTGTCCCTTAGCGAACAAAACTTGGTAGATTGTTCAGGAAGATACGGCAACAACGGCTGCAACGGCGGTCTCATGGACAACGCCTTCCGTTACATCAAAGACAACGGCGGTATCGACACGGAAAAGTCCTACCCCTACCTAGCCGAGGACGAGAAATGCCACTACAAAGCCCAGAACAGCGGCGCAACCGATAAGGGCTTCGTAGACATCGAAGAAGGCAACGAAGATGACCTTAAGGCAGCAGTTGCTACCGTAGGCCCCGTTTCGATAGCCATCGACGCCAGCCACGAAACCTTCCAACTGTACTCGGACGGAGTGTACAGCGATCCTGAATGTAGCTCACAAGAACTGGACCATGGGGTGTTGGTAGTGGGATACGGTACCAGCGACGATGGTCAGGACTACTGGTTGGTGAAGAATTCGTGGGGACCCAGCTGGGGATTGAACGGATACATCAAGATGGCCCGGAATCAAGATAACATGTGCGGAGTTGCATCTCAGGCTAGTTATCCTTTGGTTTAGAGGATATAGGACAGCGTTTGTGATTTTTTATTAGGGTTTAGAATACCTATCTCTAAAAGCTCTCTATTTTTTTTTGTTATCAATTTAGTTTTGTAAGATATTTTATATGATCTTTGTAGAGATTCTTTTTTAAGCTTCCATTAAAAACGACTAAAATCATTAAATAAGTAAATAATGTATTACATATTTTTCCTTGCCATTTTCAAGTAATTCAACATTATATATTAGGGATGGGAATATATATCGATACGAGCGGTATCGACATCACGATAATGTGTTTGTGATTTGGATTTTATATTTATTCTTTTTGTCGTATTAGTTTGTTTTTTATGATTCTCATTCTTCCATCAAAAATAATAATATATTTAAAAAAGTACTATTATTTTATTTTGCATCCTATTTCCTATCCCATTTCATAATTAAGGATGAAAATATGCCTTATGTTTATATTTAACAATAAAAATTTCATATTTGAAAAAGCGCACTACATACAAGAACATTGGATGGAAAATAATGATTATTATTATGAATATAATATAACAGTTAATTAATAATAATATGAGAAAATTATAATTCCTTTTATATTCTTCCATTAAAGAATTGTGATAAATATAAAATAATTCAAAATGTACAGGATGAGTCAATGATTAAAGTCCATTATCTATCAAATCTCAAAATTGGTATGAAAATTATATGAGAAAAATAATGTAGAGAAAGATATTTTAATTAATATTATACACGGTGTTAATAAATTTATGAATTTCATCTATTTAAAATTAAAAAATCACATTTTTTTAATGGCACACTTTGTATATATTAATTTCTGATAGATTTTATAAACTACACCAACTTTTATTAAGTGTTTACGTGAGTGTGTAACTTGTTAGATTTTTATAGGTATTCTCCATATAAATAATAGGTACTCTGTATTCTCTGTATATTGTATATTCTATTGTATTTATTTTCTATATTATAAGTTACAAGTGCAGGAAATTCAAGTCCACCAAAATTAATTGAGGATTTTATAGAGAAAATTTGGCAACATTGTTAATATGATTTTCATAAAAAGAATATGTTATAAACTCTGGTTATAAACTTTTAGGGTACGAACATAGTAGAGGCAGGTTTCTGCTTTCCGGCAACCAGCGCCGTCTCTGGGGACATATTCTTGACCACTCGCATCTTCAAATATCGCTCGCATCTCGCATCTCCTAAAAAGCCATATAACAATACACAGATGCGTAACTTTGCGTATGTGCATCACGTGTATTGTATATGGCTATTTCGGAGATGCGAGAAGGATTCGGAAGTAGATAATTAAGAGGAAATATACTTGATTAACTAACCTAACCAAACCATATTCAAACGCCGCGCCCGCCTCGCCGGGGCCACACATAGGTGTATTTGGTCTATAAACCTGGCCAAAAGTGATATTTTTTTATTAAGATTATAAAAATAGTGGAATTGTTTGTAGTGCTTTTTCTGCAAATTGTTAACCTTTAGTTCTTAATACCCCCTGTGCGCCGTCGGCGCGTGCAAAAGCAGAAATAAATAAATTTTCGTTCCGGTAAAAGCGAGAACGCCGATGAACGCTGGTTGACGGTGCCTGCCTGCTTTCACTGTGAACTAGCCGATTTGATAACCGCTTTCATTTTTTTGCGCGGCGCGGCGCTACTATGTAACCATATACAGGGGTCCCAGAAATAAGTGCAAGTATTTTAACTTAACTGGTAGTATAGTCCAGCCCCAGAAACATGCCTATGAGGTTTTTTTCTAAATACTTTTTTTTTGAAAATTCGGAATTTTTTGAAAATATTTTTGGAATTTTTTTGCAATTTTTTTTAGTTTTTATTTTAAAAAAATAATTTCTTGATAATATGGCAACATAGGTAGTAGATTAAATTTACAAGAAAGAAAATCCAGAAAAGATCCAGTGGTTCTCAAACAAATCTCGAAGTATTGGAAAGAATGTGTAAGGACCAAGAACTATTAGAGAACAACGGCATACGGTCGAGTCGGCCGCTGCTGGCACGTAGACGTAGACGTAAAGAATCTTTTACGTGTATAAAAAATAAAAAATATAAGAAATGCGCATGCGTACGTAAACGTTTACGTGTTTGTAGGCCGACTCGACCGTATGCCGTTGTTCTCTATTGACTACAATAAAACGACGGAAAGCAGCATATTTTGGTCATATTTTTCGAAATAACAAATATAGTTTCCTACAACTGATCGTTGAGGGAAAGATTGAAGGACAACGAGGCATCGGGCGTAAACGGTTTTCCTGGTTGCGGAGTTTGCGCCAGTGGTTTAATATAGGAGAGGCCAGTGCAATTATCCGTTTGGCTCAAGACAGGGAGGAATTCCAATTGATGGTCGCCAACCTCCGATGAGGAGAAGGCACATTAAGAAGAAGGTTCTCAAAATTTTAGCAAAAAATATTTTTTTTTTGGAAATTTTCAAAGTAAAATAACTCCATTATTTTGGACTTATTTGAAAAACGATAAAGAGAAAATATGTTTCTTTTATCGAGATCTACCACCCTTTAAAATACTTGCACTTATTTCTGGGATACCCTGTTTATAACAATACACGTGATGCGTATACCACGCGTATACGCAAAGTTGCGAACGATGTCAAGAATAGGTGCCCAGATTGGCGCTGACTACCAATAAGCGGCAAACCTGCTTGCACTGTGTTCGCACACTTACGGGTATATACCCTTTTACGTATACAAAAGACGTAATACATAAATAAAATCATTAAAATTTACCTGATCATTTCAATTTTCAATCCTTTTCCCAGAGCCTTTTCCATAATAATTATTAGCCTACTGAATGCAAGAAACAAATTTACAACTTTTGTTGTTTGAACCAAGTTTGAACCAGAGGTACAGTACAGAATAATTGCCAGAGGTTTGTGGTCTAAACACGGTCTAAATGCAAAAGATTTGAAAATAGAAAAGAAGAATGATTATTTTATGTTGGCTATGATTCATATAAATTTTTGAAGTGGCGATACTGGCAATTGGCATATGATTGGCATCACTGATATATCCCCGCGGAAAATCTAAATTTGTTTATTGTTTGAGGTTACCAAATAAAATTTTATAACTATTTTCCTTTTAATAGATATAATTTAAATTTAGTAAATATAATAATAACTAATTCCTGGTAATTATTTAAATACTTAATACCGTTTAATATTTTCCTTATCATGGTAAGTTAAATTGTATTCTTTATTATTAAAATATTAATGGTTAAAAATCCTTAAATTTCAGAAATAAGATGCTTCAAAATGAATGACCATAAAGCAACTCCTCCACGCCAAACTAACTTAAACCAATGGCTTTCAACAGGAGCAGATAATAATGAAAGAGTTAAAAAGAAGAGAATAGCTATTGAAAGTCTTAAAAAACCTTTATCTATAACCACCAGCCCTCTCAAAACTGGCAGAGTCTCCAGACCAAAGAGGACCACAAAACCCACTTTGAAGAGATTTAACTCGGGCGGCAGTGATGACTTACCCATATTCAATAAAAAATCTCCAAGAAAAAGAGAGAAACAGTCAGAATCATTTAAAAAGTATGGTGTTTCGGTACCCTCAGTCAATCAAGTGATGAGTGATGTGAAAAATTTAACTCAGTATAAGGGTACAGTTAATGAAGTTAAAGATTTACGCGAACCCAAAGCAAAAAAACCTTCACCTCCAGCGAAAAAACAAACAAAAAAGAAACAACACTGGTTAGACTGTAAACATTTGTCTTTGGAAGAAATCACAGAAAAATTCGATGAGAATGTAACTTATCTCGAAAGTATTTTAACAGGGAAGCTATTCTCTGAAAGACATAAAATATTTCATAAAAAAAAAGTTGGAACAAACATACTGTCGAAAAAAGACTTGACATATAATACTAGTACTATAGTTTTCACGCACGAACAAGTAGATCATATAGTAGCTTTAATGGAAGAAAAATTTGATCATGATCACACCAAGAGTGCATATTTTTTTAAAGTATTGTTGCCCGAGTTCTGTTTAAAATTGTTTATGGATGTCCATGAGATGTCGCGAAGGCAAGCCACTAATTACTTAGATGAAAGACCTATAGATTGATGTTTTTGTTTTTTGACATATTTATTTTTTTGTTTTGCTTGCAGATTTATAATCTGATTTTATTTTCAAATAGTTTAAGTATTATTATTAAAAATATGGACAAATTATGTAAAGATCCTAGTCACATTTTTATTAAATGATTACTCAGATTAAAAAATATCAGGTTTTAAATCAGGTCAAATTTATAGTTTTAATATTATTTAATAAATATTTATATCTTTGAAAAATTAATAAAATAAAAATATGAAGAATCAATTAAGCATATTAGTAACAAAAAAATGTATTGACATACCTAAATAATATCAAGATATAATATAGAAAAAAAATTAGGTAGGATCATAGATAAAAAGAAAATAATCTACTATTGGTAGGATATTCCAATTTAATTTTAAAATCTTTGTAAATGATATAATTCTCTCTCTAACTCTGTTTCGAAAATGTATTGTTGAAATTTGGCACTAACCAGTGCAAAAAAGATTAAAAGTGCATATTAGGAATTATTCTTGTTTGATTTACATTGTATTATGTAAATTCAGACCAAAAAATCGTTAAAAAGCTTTCCAAAAATAACACAAAATATTTTAAATTCTATACAGTATTTACACTATTTAAAAACTTTGAAATTTATATTTTTCATTTTAAATTTTAATTTAGATACACCTAATATGCTATTGAGCAACTTAATTGAGAAATATGGAGATTTTGAAAATCTTATTTATTCCAAAAGAATATAAATATCTTATCTGCTTTAGATACGTAAATGTTGTTTTGTATATTGTATTATACGAGGGTTTCATACAAAGTTTAATTTATTTTTGTCGCTTAATTGGAATAAGATCAAAAAAATTGATGGTTCCATTTAAAATAGTCGACTTTATAGTTTTTAATGTATTTTCTACCCCTGCTGGTCATCCAATTTATGTGGTCTGGATTTTAATGCGTGTGACAGAGAATATAAATGACCGGTTGACAGACAGAGAGACAAAATCAAAAGCGGCATACAGTCATGATACAAAGAATACAAGGTATGATATTGCGCAGGTTGATCACTACGTCACAGGTGATAAACGGCACCATTGGTCGGCAAGTTCCGCGCGCCAATTTCAAATTGTCCAACAGATGTCACAATAAATGTCAAAATAATTTTTCAAATGTCAAGCACGATGATTTGACATAACTTTTAAGGTTATGTCCTAATTCTTCCCTCTTTTAGGTCTTTTTTTATTAGTGGCAATTGCACAATATGGATATTTTTTTGTATGGCGTATGACGTCACAGGTGGTATGCGCAAACTTAACGAAATTGGGGCCGCTATCGATCATACCTTGTTTTCTTTGTACCATGGCATACAGTGATGCCGGTTTTTTACGTTTGCATGCCGACGTTCTAGAACGAATAAGAATTGTCGAGACATATCTGGATTGTCTGTCGCTCTCATATATAAGCAGACGCCTGAGGCCTGGGGACGGAGATAAATAACCGGTCGACGCGTACAGTTACAATCGCCGCTCTAATTCAAAATAAATTCCTGTTAGATAAATAATTAGATAAATTGTAAATAAGTTATAAATAGTTCTTTAAGTTTCTTTTAATCGTTATTGTTTGTTATTTAGTGTTAAATAAATTGTGACTTTCTATCCACATGGAACCGACGAAAAACGTAACAATTGGTGTCAAGTGTGGCGTGTGTGATAGACTAGAAAGATAAAAATGAGACTGACAATGGCTTCAAAAAAATTGTTGAAAGACTTGAAAGTGTCCGAGTTAAAATGCATATTGGAAGAGAGAGAGTGCGAGACAGATGGAAAAAAAGCATTCTGCAAGCAAGACTAAGAGATGTTCTGATCGAGGAAGGTGAGGATCCTGACACATTTTGCTTTGAGTTAGAAGGTGATCTTGGCTCGTCATTGAAAGATTTGCAAGACAATTTGAAGAGTTTAAATAATAAAATCAGTGAAAATTCTCAAAAATTAGAAGATAAAATTATGGAAAATTCCCAGGATTTAATCAATACATTAGAAGATAAGATCATCGAAAATTCTAAAGATATACAGGCCAGCTTTAATAATAAAATAATAATTTTGGAAGAAAGTTTTAACAATAAAATAACAGAGATTGAAGATGATGTAAACAGAAAAATCGAAATTTTACGGGAAGAAATAACGAAGTCGAATTCACCAAAATGTCAAGAAACATCGGAGGAACCGAAACTAGTCGAAAATAAATATGCCTCAAAGTCAGTTATGAAGCCTCCACAGTTTGACGGAAAAACCGCTTGGGCCAACTATTTTTGTCAATTTGAACCTGCTGCGAGAGCGAACGGCTGGACAATCGCTGAAAAAGCTACCGCTTTGACTATCGCACTGCGGGGAGATGCGACTGACATCCTGCAGACACTCTCACCATCGGAACAGGGAGATTATCAGCAATTGGTACGACATTTAGAAATGAGGTACGGCCAGGCTCATTTAGAGCATGTCTACCATTCCCAGCTCAAAAATCGTGTTCAGCAGCCTAATGAGACCCTAAGAGAATATCAAGGTGAAATAGTACGCCTTGCTCGCCTTGCGTACCCTGCTATGCCCGAAAATGTTGTGGAGCGCTTAACAGTACAGACTTTTATTAGAGAACAACGGCATACTGTCGAGTCGGCCGCTGCTGGCACGTATATGTAGACGTAAAGAATCTTTTACGTGTATAAAAAAGAAATGCGCATGCGTACGTAAACGTTTACGTGTTTGTAGGCCGACTCGACCGTATGCCGTTGTTCTCTATTGATGGTTTACATGACAAAGAAACAAGGCAAACACTTCTTTTAGCTCATCCAACGCATTTGGGAGATGCCCTAGCACGTGCCCTGGAATTTGAGGCCGCGAAAGAATGCTCTAGGTCTCTAGGATTTGTACGGGCTGTTGAGGAGTGTTCCGACGATTCCAAAGTGGAAAGGATTGTGCGGAAAGTACTGGATCAGTACATGAGCAAGAAGGGGGACCGATTCGCTCTTGGAATTGCGGACAGATGGGAAATCGTTGCAAAGAAGAGAAAGAAGTGAAAGTCTTAAGGACGACTGTGGTTGGTGATAGTTGGCAAACCGAAGATTTTGCAAATGACCAAATCAGTGATCCAGAGTTGGGCTTGGTGATTAACTGGAAAAACGCGGACCAGAGACCAACGTGGGAGGAAGTTTGCAGATATTCGCCGAACGTGAAGTCGTACTGGTCCCAGTGGAATTTATTGGTAATAGATAACGGATTACTTCGCCGTGTGATTGAGAGACCAGAGGGACAAGAAGAGAGAAGGCAGATCGTCATTCCAAAGAAGAGGGTCCCGGAAGTCTTGGCGGAAGTTCACAATGGAACCAGCGGTGGACATCTTGGTGTTAGCAAGACCCTTGGCAAGCTGCGTGAACGGTTCTATTGGATGAACTGCACAGAAGACGTGAGGGCCTGGTGTAAGAAATGCGACGTTTGCGCTGCTATCAATGGACCACAAAGGCGCGGTAAAAGCTCCAATGCGCCAGTACAATATAGGCAGTCCTTTCGAACGAATAGCGATCGACGTGGCTGGTCCTTTCCCGGAGACGAACGATGGCAACAAATACATTGTGGTAGTAATGGATTACTTCAGCAAATGGGTCGAGGCCTACGCGTTACCAAATCAAGAAGCGTCCACCATTGCTGATGCTCTTGTTAAGGAATGGATCTGCAGGTTTGGTGGTCCCATGGAGCTGTATTCAGATCAGGGAAGAAACTTCGAATCCAATCTGTTCCAAGGCGTCTGTGAAGTCCTTAACATCCGCAAGACCAGGACGACGGCTCTACATCCACAATCCGATGGGATGGTTGAACTTATGAACAGAACCATCAACCGTTATTTGGCCAAAGTAGTCTCTGACCACCAAAGAGACTGGGACAAATTTCTTCACCTGTTCCTGTTGGCCTACCGTTCATCGGTCCAAGAATCTACAGGGCAAACTCCAGCCAGCATCGTTATGGGACGGGAAGTGCGCCTACCTTGTGATCTGAAGTTTGGTTGCCGACCGGGAGAAGATGTCGCTGGAGAAGATTATGTCCACACACTACGTCAAAGAATGGACGACATCAGCGAGTCCGCCTGAATATTCAAAGCGCTAGTGACCGAATGAAGGAACACTACGACATTCAAGCTGAGCATGGGGGATACCAACCAGGGAATTTGGTGTGGCTGTACAACCCGCAGAGACGTCGTGGATTATCTCCGAAGCTACAATCTTCGTGGGAAGGCCCATACGTAGTCATGGATAGGATTAATGACGTCGTATACCGTATCAGAAAATTGCCAAAGGAAAACCGAGGATAGTTCATTTCAACCGTTTGAGCCCCTACCAAGGCGAAATAGAAGATCGTGCTGGGACCGTGAGAACCTGCAGCTTTGATCCCCCTGATTCGGAGATGTCCTTTGACGATTTCATGGCCCGATACAACAGCAGTGAAAAGGCTCGCTATGGTGTAACCAAAGAAGATCAACGAGACCTCTTTTCCGTGCCTCCTGATTATTCGCTCGCTCACTGTGTGACCCGAGATTTGCGGATGTCCAGAGGAATCGCGGCGACGTTCAATGAGAAGTTTGGGCGTGTCGGAGAACTACGCCGACAAGATCCAGAGATTGGACGCGTCTTGAGGCTAACCGACAATGCACATGGCCAAGCAAGACACATCTTCTACCTGGTCACCAAGGAATGGTCCCCGAGTAAGCCGACTTATCTCAATCTATGGAAAACCCTGATTGAACTGAGAGAAGCCCTGCTAAACAATAACATTACACGATTAGCCATTCCGAAGCTGGCGCGTGGACTCGATGGTTTGAGTTGGCGTACATTCCGGAACATGATTGAAGTCTTGTTTAGATTTACGGGAATCGAGATCCTCGTTTGCTGCTACAACCCAAAGCTGAGACCGGGCGAGAAAACTGTAGACTGCTTTTTCTACCAGACTTCTCAATGTACCAGGGGCCAGTTTTGCAAATACCTTCATTCACCGTGTACATCTCGGGACGAGCATGTACCTAAGAAGGGGGCAGTGTTGCGGACCCGTACCGTGTGAACTCGGTCTTAGGCCTGGCCACTCGCCTATGGGTACGAACATAGTGCAGGCAGGTTTCTGCTTTCCGGCAACCAGCGCCGTCTCTGGGGACCTATTCTTGACCACTCGCAGCTTCAAATATCGCTCGCATCTCGCATCTCCTAAAAAACCATATAACAATACACAGATGCGTAACTTTGCGTATATGCATCACGTGTATTGTATATGGCTATTTCGGAGATGTGAGAAGGGTTCGGAAGTAGATAATTAAGAGGAAATTTACCTGATTAACTAACCTAACCTAACCAAACCATATTCAAACGCCGCGCCCGCCTCGCCGGGGCCGCACAGGTGTATTTGGTCTATAAACCTGACCAAAAGTGATATTTTTTTATTTTCATTTTTTATCTTAACTGAATACAAACCTATAAATATTAAATGTAAACACGTTTATTAGTTATTAGCTTTTTTAAGTCGCAAGTTGACTATCAAATAAATAATATATCTCAGTTAAAAGTATGAATTATCTTGAGTGTATTCTGAATATTTCTAAGATTATAAAAATAGTGGAATTGTTTGTAGTGCTTTTTTTGCAAATTGTTCATAATAACTGTCATGATGGATACAGAGCCAGCTTTGTTTGTTTGCTCTGTTCTGTTTTATGCCATATTTTTATTTTGAAATGTTTCCTTCTATTTTTTTATGTTTTATATTTAAAAAATCAGTGGCATTTTTATAAGATATAAGACTATTCGGCAATATTCCGCATGGAAATTAGTATCCGTTCAATGCTTAAAGTCTCCAGCATTGGAATATGCACAAAAATCTTGCCAATATTTGCCACTGCCAAAAAAAAACATTGATTTAAATAGATTCTTAAAGGAAATAGTCTTTACCCTATTAACACCCATCCTCGCTCAAATAGCGTCTATAATATACAAATTACTTTCTTGTTCTAACGTCCTCATCCAATTGCTTGGTTTTGCACAGTATGGCCCTATTTGATCGGTGGAAAAGGTTTCAGAGTAGAGGAAAAAATATTGTGTAGGAAAAACAAAATGGGGTTCCATATTAGCAATTTCTCCTCTAATTAATAATTAATATTACTAGCAAAAAAGCAAAAAAATCATAAAACATAATTTTGGCCAACTTTTAGTTCTTAATACCCCCTGTGTGCCGTCGGCGCGTGCAAAAGCAGAAATAAATAAATTTTCGTTCCGGTAAAAGCGAGAACGCCGATGAACGCTGGTTGACGGTGCCTGCCTGCTTTCACTGTGAACTAGCCGATTTGATAACACGCTTTAATTTTTCAAGGTTATAAGCGCGGCGCGGCGCGGCGCTACTATGTAACCATATACAGGGTGTCCCAGAAATAAGTGCAAGTATTTTAACTTAACTGGTAGTATAGTTCAACCCCAGAAACACGCCTATGAGGTTTTTTTCTAAATAATTTTTTTTGAAAATTCGGAATTTTTTGAAAATATTTTTGGAATTTTTTTGCAATTTTTTTTAGTTTTTATTTAAAAAAAAATAAATTCTTGATAATATGGCAACATAGGTAGTAGATTAAATTTACAAGAAAGAAAATCCAGAAAAGATCCAGTGGTTCTCAAACAAATCTCGAAGTATTGGAAAGAATGTGTAAATAAGGACCAAGAACTATTGACTACAATAAAACGACGGAAAGCAGCATATTTTGGTTATATTTTTCGAAATAACAAATATAGTTTCCTACAGCTGATCGTTAAGGGAAAGATTGAAAGACGACGAGGCATCGGGTGTAAACGGTTTTCCTGGTTGCGGAATTTGCGCCAGTGGTTTAATATAGGAGAGGCCAGTGCAATTATCCGTTTGGCTCAAGACAGGGAGGAATTCCAATTGATGGTCGCCAACCTCCGATGAGGAGAAGGCACATGAAAAAGGTTCTTAAAATTTTAGCAAAAAATCTTTTTTTTTTTTGGATATTTTCAAAGTAAAATAACTCCGTTATTTTGGACTTATTTGAAAAACGATAAAGAGAAAATATGTTTCTTTTATCGAGATCTACCACCCTTTAAAATACTTGCACTTATTTCTGGGATACCCTGTTTATAACAATACACGTGACACGTATACGCAAAGTTGCGAACGATGTCAAGAATAGGTACCCAGATTGGCGCTGGCTACCAGAAAGCGGCAAACCTACTTGCACTGTGTTCGCACACTATGACTCATACGCCCAGCGATGCCGACGTTCTAGAACGAATAAGAATTGTCGAGACATATCTGGATTGTCTGTCGCTCTCATATATAAGCAGACGCCTGAGGCCTGGGGACGGAGATAAATAACCGGTCGACGCGTACAGTTACAATCGCCGCGCTAATTCAAAATAAATTCCTGTTAGATAAATAATTAGATAAATTGTAAATAAGTTATAAATAGTTCTTTAAGTTTTTTTTAATCGTTATTGTTTGCTATTTAGTGTTAAATAAATTGTGTTTAAATAAATTGTGACTTTCTATCCACACGGAACCGACGAAAAACGTAACAACATAACCATTTTGACATTTAGTACAACGCAAATAATTTTCCCGGATGTAAAATTTCCAATTTCATGATGTGGCCTAGAAAAAAACGGGAATAGAAGTGGAACTAAATTTAAAAATTATTGATTTTAGTGTCAACAAATTTAACTAAATAAAATATATTTACCTATATGCGATAACAATTAAACTTTTAGTTACGTAATCGAGGGCGCGATTTTTAAATTAATATTGTTGCCAACCATGGAATATTCGGCGCCGGACTGAGTAACTGTAATTTAAATTTTCTGCTGGGTAAATTTAAAAATTCGACTGGGAAAAATGTCAAGCTGCCACATTTATTGATTTATTTCCTGACACTGTCATTTGTTTTGTTACTTTAGTTTTGTATTACGAGTTTTTGGTTTAAATAAAAAGTGTTGTGATACCTTAAGCTTAAAAATGTTTACTACCAGATCTTGCAGTCGAACATTATTCTTTTTACAACTTCTTTTAGTACGAAGTATACAAGATAGCTTAATAGCCGTTGCAAAAAACTCATCGCAACCTTATTAGAATATTTTGAACAGGAAAGCGGTAGTAATGGCCCTTTATATCCTTTAAGTGCTGTTAAGGAGGTGAGTTTTGTTGATGTAAATAATAACTGTTTATATATTTATAATTAATTTTTGTTTCCTAAAATATTTTGATTAAAAGAAATTATGTAAAAGTGGGCAACGCTGTGCAGGTCAAGCTTAATCACCTAACTAAAAGTTTATTTGGTATGATCTTATAGTGGTTATATTTTTGAATAAAACAATTTTATCTAACTCAACACCAATAATAAAGAATCCCGTACGATGCGGACTTTTATCTGACACTGTAGTTCTATTACTTATCGAACAACACTGGTATGTATAAAAATAATAACAGCTTATCAGAACACTTTAAAAATATTGGTACAGCAAGATTATTAAAAAGTATTCTTGTTGTCATATATTACACGATATAGATGAAGAAAGTGAAATAGATAATACAAATGATTTGGTTTAATAAAGTTTTAATACATTCTAATAAAAGTAATTTACTTTCTATTTCGAAAAATACTTTTAAATTACATAGAATGGCGAGTTTTTTGATAAACGATCAAAAGTATGAATTTTTGAAAGATTTGGGTCTACAAGAGAAAAATTTGGGAGTATATGATGGTACATGGAAAGGATCAGGAACGGTAAGTATACAGGGTGACCATAAAAATAACAATCGAAAATATAAATCATTGCTCTCTGATGAAACGCATAAAGGGGGTCATAGACATAGACGACACAACACTTGCTTTTTACAGGTGGTTCAATCCGTATGTCCCAGTAATGGAAAAATAATCGCTGAAGTGCAACAAGGGAATGTGAGTGACTATAAATCGTGTGTGGATAAGTCTGAGGAAGCCTGTAAAATATGGGCTGAAATACCGGCACCCAAACGGGGAGAAATCGTACGTCAAATCGGGGATTCCCTCAGGAAGAAACTGGTTCCCTTGGCCAAGCTTGTATCTTTAGAAATGGGTAATATACCTACAGGAAATTCCAAATTCGCAACAACTGCGACTTTTTTATTATTGAGTTATTGTAAAAGGCAAAATTTTAAATTTAAAGTATTTTAATTAATTTTTATTTCTATACTATCCCATAATCTTCCTCAAAATGTATTTTTTAAGATACCAAACTTATTGCAATGAAGAAAACATTAATACTTTTTTATCAGGTAAAATATTACCAGAAGGTATCGGGGAAGTACAGGAATACGTTGACATTTGCGACTACGCAGTGGGGCTGTCCAGGATGTTGTCCGGGTCGATTTTTCCATCAGAAAGACCAGGTCACGTGCTTTTGGAAAAATGGAACCCATTGGGTATCGTTGGAGTAATATCTGCTTTCAATTTTCCAGTCGCTGTGTACGGATGGAATAGTGCTATAGCAATGGTAAGCAATGCTAGTATTAATAATAGTGTTTTATTTCTTGGTTTCTTATACTTGGGTTCAAACATTTCGCTCCTATTAATTATCAACTATATACCGGGTGCTCCTCAGAAGTGGCTCACCCGTATAACTTTTTTATTTCTTCAGATAAAGAAACGGAATTTGGTATTTCAGTATTTGACATAAATTAGGATTGACTAACGTATTCAATTATTGTTTTTGGTCATTGCCTCTTTCACCGGAAATGACTACAAATTTTGATTTTTAAATGGCACCCTCAGTATTTTTTTACTTTATTCGATAGAAAATGTCACTCTGAATAGAATGGCATACCATATGCCAACTTTTGGTATTTTCGCTTTAAAAAAATAGTATTGTTGCGGGCCGGTGTGGACTCGACCTAACCTCACAATATGGCCCGCCCTCGGATGACCTTAACATCGCATAGACACCGCAATGATTCATTCGTTCGAGAAGAATCGAGTCCCACTGGAATGGACGAGCAGGGTTCGGAAGTAGTTAACTAAGACGTAATTTACCTGATTAACTACGTGTAGTTTTTCTTCAAAAACTACGTCTTTTCCCATTCATTAACTACATGAAAACTACGTTAATAAACTATGTATTGATATTATGAATATTTTTCCTTTGTATCAGGTGTAATAGAGATAATATGATGTAAATATTATATTTAAAGCCATATTTCTTCTTTTTTCTTAAATACATTATGTGTTTTTAAAGCTTCAACTTATTATAACCTCACCTCAAACCTTTGATATTTGAAAGCTACATACATAGGTTACATAAACTACACCCTCTACATAAACTACATTAACTACATGTGATGTAGTTTATGTAGTTTTTAAAAGTAACATGTAGTTTTCCGAACCCTGTGGACGAGTACATACGAGAACATTCGAAAACCTTCTCTACGCACCTAACGATCTATGGACAATTCTAGAGTTCTTTACCTGCCGGTATAAAAGCCGGCGGCCGTGGCCTACAGGGGGCAGTTATAAATATACCAGTGCAGTTGACGCGCTAAAATTCAAAATAAATTCTTAGTTATAAATCGTTTGTAAATAGTTCTATAAGTCTTTTATCGTTATTGTTTTTGTTAATTAGTGTTAAATAAATAGTGTTTAAATAAATTGTGACTTTCTATCCACACGGACCGACGAAAAACGTAACAATTGGTGTCAAGTGTGGCGTGTGTGATAGACTAGAAAAATAAAAAGACTAACGATGGCTCCAAAAAATTGAAAGACCTGAAAGTGTCGGAATTAAAAAGCATACTGGAAGAGAGGGAATGCGAGACAGATGGAAAGAAAAGCATTTTGCAAGCCAGACTGAGAGACGTTTTGATTGAGGAAGGTGAGGATCCTGACACATTTTGCTTTGAGTTGGAAGGTGACCTTGACTCGTGCCTACAAAAATTAGAAGACAATTTGAATGACAAAATTACAGAAAATTCCCGGAATTGCAAGACAATTTAAACGGCAATTTGAATAATTTAGAAGATAAAATGATGAAAAATTCTCAGGATTTAATTAATATTTTAGAAGATAAGATCGCAGAAAATTCTAAAGACATACAGGCCAGCTTTAATAATAAAATACTTAATTTAGAAGAAAAGATAACAGAAAATTCCAGGGAATTAGAAGAGAAGATAACAGATACACAAGACAAAATAACAGAGATTGAGGAAGATGTAAATAGAAAAATCGAAATTTTAAGAGAAGAAATAGCGAAATCAAATTCACCAAAATGTCAAGAAACATCGGAGGGGCCGAAACTAGTCGAAAATAAGTATATCTCAAAGTCAGTTATTAAGCCTCCACAGTTTGACGGAAAACCGCTTGGGCTAATTATTTTTGCCAGTTTGAGGCCGCTGCGAGAGCGAACGGATGGACAATCGCTGAAAAGGCTACCGCTTTGACTGTCGCACTGCGAGGAGATGCGACTGATATTCTGCAGACATTGTCACCATCGGAACAGGGAGATTATCAGCAATTGGTACGACATTTAGAAATGAGGTACGGCCAAGCTCATTTGGAACATGTCTATCATTCCCAGCTAAAAATCGCATTCAAAAGTCAAATGAGTCTCTGCAGGAGTTTGAAGCCGACGTAGCCCGCCTCGTTCGCCTTGCGTACCCTGCTACGCCAGAGAATGTTATGGAGCGGTTGGCAGTACAGGCATTCTCCGACGGCTTACGTGATAACGAGACAAGACAAGCACTTCTCCTAGCCCATCCAACGCACTTGGTGGATGCTTTAGCACGTGCCCTAGAATTTGAGGCCGCGAAACAAAGTTCTCGGTCTCTAGTGAGAGTACGGGCGGTCAACCAATGTTCCGACGAATCCGTGGAAAGCATTGTGCGGAAAGTCATGGAGGAGTACATGGGCAAGAAAGGACCGACTTGTTGCTGGAATTGCGGCCAGGCAGGACACGTAAGAAGTCACTGTAAAGAAAAAAGACGTGGACCCGGTTTCGCCAAGTGTCGAATCAAAGGGACACATATCGAGCAGTACCCAACAGGTTCCAACCAAAACTGCTCAAGTCGCATCGCTACAACACAAGTTCAACAGCATTTTTGTGGATGGTTTCGTGGATGGAGAGTTACGAACCATGCTTTTGGATACGGGTGCAACCAAAACGATCATCAGGCGGATATCCTTAAAACATCAAAAAGGATTAAAACAACACAATGGCGACTACGTACAGCTACAGGAAGCTCCGCTCTCATCCATGGAGAGGTAGATCTTAATTTTGTTATCGGAAGCACCTGTTTTAATCATCGAGTGTTAGTAGCAGACATCGAAGATGAACTTATTCTCGGAATGGACATCATGACCACTAGAGGTTTTGAGCTAAACCTCAAACAAGGAATTTTGAAAATAAATGAAGAAGAAGTGGTTCTGCATCGAAAATGTGAGGAGACGCTTCGCGTGGTGGTAGCAGAAGATGTTTCGATCCCTGAGCGCTGTGAGATATTTTTGGATGGTTGCCTAGAAGGTAAAATGAATAATGGGAGTATTATTCTGTTGGAGCCAAGGAACCATGACAGCGAAATAGGACGAGGGATCGCTGTTGGAAAAGCCCTGCTACGAGCGAAGAAAACTGTACCGGTGAGAGTAATGAACACGAATTATTATTCTGTATCCTTGAAGAAGGGAACCCTCTTAGGGTACTGTTGTTCGGTCTCCTCAGTCGTTCGAAGCGTGGAAGCCTCCAAAGTTTCGACTTCAAAAATTCCGGACAAAATGGTGAAGGAGTTAGTAAACGTTAAAGGATTATCTCCCGAAAATAGAAGAAAATTGAGAAACCTGATAATCAAGTATCAAGATGTGTTTGATAAAGGAGAAGCAGGACAGAGAGGTCGTACCAATTTAGTACAACACAAAATTGATACCGGAGATGCACGACCAATCAAACAAAATCCGAGAAGACTTCCGCTCGCCAAACGTGAAGAAGCTGATAAAATCCTTCGAGAAATGAAAGAAGAGGGTGTCATCGAACCATCTAACAGCCCGTGGACATCGCCGGTAGTACTAGTAAAGAAGAAAGACGGTACCACCAGGTTCTGTGTTGATTATCGGCAGCTCAATAATGTTACCAAGAAGGATAGTTATCCCCTGCCGAGGATAGACGATACTCTAGACACGCTGGCGGGGTCAACGATATTCTCTACGTTAGATCTGAAGAGTGGATATTGGCAAGTCGACATGGCGCCGAAAGACAGAGAGAAGACAGCGTTCTCGGTGGGCTCCGGACTGTGGCAATTTACCGTCATGCCTTTTGGATTGTGCAACGCGCCAGCTACCTTTGAGAGACTAATGGAGTCTGTGTTAAAGGGACTATCCTGGACTACCTGTTTAGTGTACCTGGATGACATCATAGTGGTTGGGAAATCCTTTGACGATCATCTGAAGAATTTGGAAGAAGTTTTCAAGCGACTAGGGAGCTCTGGTTTGAAACTTAGCCCCAAGAAATGTCATCTGTGTCAAGAAAAGGTACACTACTTGGGCCATGTAGTCTCCCTCCCAAGGAGTTGCGGTAGATCCACAGAAGACCAAGACAGTGGAAGAGGGCCGATACCTAAAGATAAACATGAACTACGAAGCTTTTTGGGACTATGCACATACTATCGCCGCTATGTACAGGGTTTTGCCACCATCGCAAAACCATTGACCAGACTTACCGAAGGCGAGAGGCGTTTCTCTTGGGACTCAGATTCTGACGAGGCATTCCGAAAATTGAAGAAGGCCCTGACTAGTGCGCCCATACTTAGCTACCCTCTTGGCAACGGAAACTTTATATTGGATACCGACGCTAGCAATGTTGGTTAGGCGCTGTTCTGTCTCAGATCCAGGATGGTCAAGAAAAAGTCATTGGTTATTTTAGTAAGACCTTGTCAAAACCGGAAAGGAACTACTGTGTAACCAGACGAGAATTACTAGCAGTAGTTAAAGCAGTGGAACACTTCTACAAGTATCTCTATGGAAGAAAGTTCTTGTTAAGAACAGACCATGCTGCTTTGAAATGGCTGTTGCAATTTAAGAATCCTGAAGGGCAGGTAGCTAGATGGATTGAACGATTACAAGAATTTGACTTCGACACAGAACATCGAGCTGGGGCAATCCATCGGAATGCCGACGCACTTTCCAGAAGACCTTGCGCTAAGGACTGTAAGCATTGTTCCCGAGCTGAAGAGAAAGAAGTGAAACTCCTAAGAACAACTGTGGTTAATGATAGTTGGCAACCCGAAGATCTTGCAAATGACCAAACCAGTGACCCAGAATTAGGTTTAGTAATTAACTGGAAAAACACAGGCCAAAGACCAACGTGGGAAGAAGTTTGCAGATATTCGCCGAACGTAAAGTCGTACTGGGCCCAGTGGAATTCCTTGGTAATAGATAACGGACTACTTCGCCGTGTGATCGAGAGACCGGAGGGACAAGAAGAGAGAAGGCAGATCGTCATTCCAAAGAAGAGGGTCCCAGAAGTCTTGGAGGAAGTTCACAATGGAACCAGCGGAGACATCTTGGTGTTACCAAGACACTTGGCAAGCTGCGTGAACGGTTCTACTGGGTGAACTGCAAAGAAGATGTGAGGGCCTGGTGTAAGAAATGTGACATTTGCGCAGCCATTAATGGGCCACAAAAGCGTGGTAAAGCCCCTATGCGCCAGTACAATGTTGGTAGTCCCTTCGAACGAATAGCGATCGACGTGGCTGGTCCTTTCCCGGAGACGAACGATGGCAACAAATACATTGTGGTAGTAATGGATTACTTCAGCAAATGGGTCGAGGCCTACGCGTTGCCAAATCAAGAAGCGTCCACGATTGCTGATGCCCTTGTTAAAGAATGGATCTGCAGGTTTGGTGTTCCCATGGAGCTTCATTCAGATCAGGGAAGAAACTTTGAGTCCAATCTGTTCCAAGGCGTCTGTGAAGTCCTGAACATCCGCAAGACCAGGACGACTGCTCTACATCCACAATCCGATGGGATGGTTGAACGCATGAACAGAACTATCAACCGTTATCTGGCCAAAGTAGTCTCTGACCACCAAAGAGACTGGGACAAATTTCTTCACCTGTTCCTGTTGGCCTACCGTTCATCCGTCCAAGAATCTACAGGGCAAACTCCAGCCAGCATCGTTATGGGACGGGAAGTGCGCCTACCCTGTGATCTGAAATTTGGTTGCCGACCGGGAGAAGAAGTCGCCGGAGAAGATTATGTCCACACACTACGTCAAAGGATGGACGACATTCATCAGAGAGTCCGCCTAAATATTCAAAGTGCTAGTGACCGAATGAAGGAACACTACGACATTCAAGCTGAGCATGGAGGATACCAACCAGGGAAGTTGGTGTGGCTATATAACCCGCAGAGACGTCGTGGGTTATCTCCGAAGCTACAATCCTCGTGGGAAGGGCCATACGAAGTCATGGATAGAATTAATGACGTCGTATACCGTATCAGAAAATTGCCAAAAGGAAAACCGAGGGTAGTCCATTTCAACCGTTTGAGCCCCTACCAAGGCGAAATAGAAGATCGTGCTGGGACCGTGAGAACCTGCAGCTTTGATCCCCCTGATTCGGAGATGTCCTTTGACGATTTCATGGCCCGATACAACAGCAGTGAGAAGGCTCGCTATGGTGTAACCAAAGAAGATCAACGAGACCTCTTTTCCGTGCCTCCTGATTATTCGCTCGCTCATTGTGTGGCTCGAGATTTGCGGATGTCCAGAGGAATCGCTGCGACGTTCAATGAGAAGTTTGGGCGTGTCGGAGAACTACGCCGACAGGATCCAGAGGTTGGAAGCGTCTTGAGGCTAACCGACAATGCACATGGTCAAGCAAGGCACATCTTCTACCTGGTCACCAAGGAATGGTCCCCGAGTAAGCCGACTTATCTCAATCTATGGAAGACCCTGATTGAACTGAGAGAAGCCCTGCTAAACAACAACATTGCACGATTAGCCATTCCGAAGCTGGCGTGTGGACTCGATGGTTTGAGTTGGCGTACAATCCGGAACATGATTGAAGTCTTGTTCAGATTTACGGGAATCGAGATCCTCGTTTGCTGCTACAACCCAAAGCTGAGATCGGGAGAGAAAACTGTAGACTGCTATTTCTACCAGACTTCGCAATGTACCAGGGGCCAGCTTTGCAAATACCTTCATTCACCGTATACATCTCGGGACGAGCATGTACCTAAGAAGGGGGCAGTGTTGCGGGCCGGTGTGGACTCGACCTAACCTCACAATATGGCCCGCCCTCGGATGACCTTAACATCGCATAGACACCGCAATGATTCATTCGTTCGAGAAGAATCGAGTCCCACTGGAATGGACGAGTACATACGAGAACATTCGAAAACCTTCTCTACGCACCTAACGATCTATGGACAATTCTAGAGTTCTTTACCTGCCGGTATCAAAGCCGGCGGCCGTGGCCTACAGGGGCAGTTATAAATATACCAGTGCAGTTGACGCGCTAAAATTCAAAATAAATTCTTAGTTATAAATCGTTTGTAAATAGTTCTATAAGTCTTTTATCGTTATTGTTTTTGTTAATTAGTGTTAAATAAATAGTGTTTAAATAAATTGTGACTTTCTATCCACACGGAACCGACGAAAAACGTAACAGTATTTTAAATTTCAATCTAGAGTGCCATGTTAAAAACACTAATTTTTAATCAAGGAATCTTGGAAAATATATTTGATGGTCTAATGTTTTTCGTGTCTTGTCCTGGCCGGTTAAAAGATGCCCAAATGATATTTTTAATCATATCTCAATTTTTTCAAATGGAATAAGGGTGGCTCATTGAGGATATTTGGAAAAAGCATTTTTTTACGAATAATTTAGTATCACACACTTGGTATTTCAAGTCAAATTGTCGTTATGAACCGCATGTTACAATTATTTCTAATAAACTATATGCGAAAGTATTAAAAGTTGACATATGATGTGTCATTCTATTCAGAGTGTCATTTTCTATCGAATTAAGTAAAAAAATACCGAGGGTGCCATTTAAAAACCAAAAGTTGTAGTCATTTCCGGTGAAACAGGAAGTGACCAAAAGCAATTGAATACGTCAATCAATCCTAATTTATGTTATATACTAACATACCAAATCTCTTATCTGAAAAAATAAAAAAGTTATAGGGGTGAGCCACTTTAGAGACGCATCCGGTATATATATCCTATGAGAGGATATCCATATGACAATGACAGTTGTGTCATTTTTTTTTCATCTGTCGAAATGTTCCCTGATTGGTTGTACAAACTTTAAATTGAATTTATAACAAAACTACAAACCAAAACATTTACAGATCTATTGTGGTGGTTTCATATGTCAAGGTTACATTTCCTAGTTGTATCTTTTTAAAAAAGTCTAATAACTTGCGACTGAACCTTCCATAAGGTTTCCATATAGCTCTTTGCCAAATCATCTCACCTATCGTACAGACAGACATACCACGAATATCTGCGAAACTGTCAAAAATTTAAAAATAGTATACATACAAAAAAATGTCCATTTTTGAATCCTCCCTCCATCTAACAAAAAAATATATACAGGGTATTCCATCCACAAAATTTCTAAGTTTTGTTTTACAGGACCTACAGATGTCCGACGCAATGTTGCAGGATCCGGTATATGTAGACATGTACTCGTTTCTACTAGACACATCATCCGATACTTTATAGGTTTGTGTTTTCTATTTTAGGTTTGTGGAGATACTGTTCTTTGGAAAGGCGCGGAAACAACACCTTTGGTTTCCGTAGCAACGGCTAGGATAGTAGCTGAGGTTTTGGAGGCTAATAAGCTACCCGGAGCTATAGCCGCTTTATGTTGTGGAGGAGCGGACGTTGGTAAAGCTATGGCAGCTGATGAAAAAATAAAACTATTATCGTTTACCGGCAGTTGTCAAATTGGCCAACAAGTAAGTATTTACAGAAAAGACAGTCACAAATACTGTAGCACTATAGCCCTCCATACATCAGAAGATGGATGGATGGAACTATGGATATGACTGACGCGATCGATGACATTTCCCATATAATTATACATCTAAAATGACAGCGATTTTCATTTCATAACCATCACTGACGTTTTTTTTAGTCATATTGTATTATTCGTCTGCGGATAGAAGTATTCATCTTTTCTATGTCTTATTAAGAAAATATCATCACGTACACTCCCAAAATCCATCCACTGGATTTATACATTATTTTTCTTGTTTAAGGTTGGAGTAGAAGTTCAAAAAAGATTTGGAAAATCTCTGTTAGAGTTAGGAGGCAATAATGCCCTTATAGTCGCCGATGACGCTAACTTGGACATCGTAATTCCTGCTACATTGTTTGCTTGTATAGGTACGTCAGGACAGCGGTGTACTACCACAAGAAGACTGATTTTACATCAAAAAGTAAGTCCTCTGATTACTCTTTTTAACACAATTTTTTTTCTAAATTTTATTATTTTGTTGAATTCTGTATAAATCAAAAGAAATAATAAATGGATAAATCAATTAAAAACATCATAATAAATCGATCTAACCCAGTGATAATATACTTTTTTTTATAGCGATGGACATGAATAAAATTATAGTTTCATTCTGTTCTAGGTATATGATGAAGTATTAAGAAGACTTAAAACAGCTTATAGTCAAGTATTGAATAGAATTGGAGATGCTTTAGAGGAAAATACTCTTATTGGACCCTTGCATAGCCAAATTTCATTGGAAAATTATAAGAAAACTATCAACGAAATTAAAAAAGAAGGTGGTACGATTGAACTAGGTGGGAAAGTAAGTTTACATCTCTTCAAATATAGCATGATATGCGAATTTCTCGATGCAATGCTCATACCTCGAGGCGCAGTAAACAGTAGCACAGGGTGTCCCATTAAAAATATAATATTTGGGTAATATTTAAGTAATGACGATTCCAAGCAAAAATCTAACTACACCACTGGTTTCTATATCAAAAATTAGATAAGAATCAGGTTTTAGCTACTTGATAAGTTGAAGGATAATCCAGATACGGGGGTCTCCGAAAATTCACTATTTTTAAGTTCGCCCTCTATCTCATAAATGAAACGGTTCTAAATAATAGTTGAAACTGTTACCACAGAACAGATACAAATTTGTATCTGTTCTGTACTGTTACTCTCAATTACAAATAACCGGTTTCTGTTGTTTATTAGTTTTATTGTTAAAGATTAAAGAGTCAATATTCAGTCAAGTTTTATTGTTAAAGAGCCAATCAACAAGAAAGGAGTATATTTTATAATATATTTCTATCAAAGGGTTTTAATATGAAGATATAGTCCGTAACTTTCTTTTTATTTGTGAACAATTTTGTGTGATCATACCATTAGGACCTAAGTCGATTAGATTAATTAAGAATGTGGGTAGATATTCAACAATACACTAACAATTTCAATAAGCAGCAAAAATCTAAAATTAGTATGTCCCCACCACACAGCAGTTACAAATTGGTTACAACCTTATACCGGGTGCGTCTCAAAAGTGTCTCACCACTATAACTTTTTTTTTTCAGATAACAAATCGAAATTTGGTATATTAATATATAACATAAATTAGGATTGATTGACACATTCAGTTGTTTTCTGTCACTTCCTGTTTCACTGGAAATGATTATAACTTTTGATTTTTAAATGGTACCCTCGGTGTTTTGTTGCTTTATTCGATAGAAAATGACACTCTGAATAGAATGACATATCATATGTCAACTTTTGACATTTTCAAATATGTGGTTCATAACGACAATTTGACTCGAAATACCAAGTGTGTGGTACCAAATTATTCGTAAAAAATGCTTTTTCCAAATATGCTAATGAGCCATTGTCGTCACCCTCGTTCCATTTGAAAAATTGAAATACGATTAAAAATACGATGATTTGGGTATCTATTAACTGGTCAGGACAGAAGACACGAATAAAATTAGACGATCAAATCTATTTTTCCAAGGCTCCTTGATTAAAAATTAGTGTTTTTATCACAGCCATGGCACTATAGATTGAAATTTAATATTCAATTTTGTTTTAAGCGAAAATGTCAAAAGTTGACATATGATATGTCATTCTGTTCAGAATGTTATTTTCTATCGAATAAAGTAAAAAAATACGGAGGGTGCCATTTAAAAATCAAATTTTGTAGTCATTTCCGGTGAAACAGGAAATGACAGAAAACAATTGAATACAATGACTAAAGAATACAAGGACATGTAACGGCCATATACGAGCTGCAGCAAAATTTGTGACCTTTAGACGCCATATTTTTGGACATAACGAATGAATCATCAGCTGTTCATCAGTGACAATTTTAGCGATTTTTAATAGTTGGTTGTGTGTAGCGAACTTTGTATAAACTTTATTACAATGGTAATTTGTTCAGCTTTCAAGTGTAAAAGGCGCAATGATAAGAAAGATCCAGGAGTTACGTTTTATAGGGAAATAAAGAGTACACTACACCTTTTTAACGTTTTTTTATTGAATTCGATAATTATTTTTCTGATATTATATTGTCACGGCCCATTTTGTGGGTTATGACTAGGGGCATAGCAAATAATAAATACTTCAATTTAACTTAATAATCAATTTAATTAATCTACGAATAATAAAATAATTATAAAACTAAATGTGTACTTACATATTATATTTATGGACGAACATCATCACTGGCTCGGGGGTAGTGTCAGGGTAGTGTAACGCCAATGCCGGAATCTCTACCGCGACCTTATCGAACTTACTATCGACTATCGACTATCCCCCCAACAGGTGACATTTTTGTATTTATTGGTTCGTTACGTCGAATCATCGAATCAGCATTATTGGTCTATCGGTGCGATGACCGGTGCGATGACCGCGTTAGTGCTGATTTGATGATTTTATAAATTCGTAGTATTGATAGGAAATATTTTCGCAATTGCCAATTATGCTTATAACTTTGATTTTTAAAACTTTACTTTTGTTGCGTAAATGCCAATGAACTTTAATTATTTTATACTTCCTTTCAATCGAATTATTAATTTACGAAATATATTAATATTAAATATGTTATTTTATATATCGAATAATTCCATCCTTGACACTTCCCCCGCACCTCTAAAGCTGGACCCCAGCGATAATTCAAGATTTATGAAATTATACTTTTTAACAATAATTATTATACATTGCAATAAATTGTGCTTAACGTTTCATAATAAAAAATGTTTTAAGTATACAATATTAAATAAAAAAAATTAAAAAAATGTTTTTAAAGAAATTACTAACTAAAAAAAATATAAAAAAAGCTTCTCTATAAGTTTAAGGATGGCGATTAGCCGTTTACATATAGACAAAAAAAATGTCTTTTAATACTGGCACTAACGTGAACTGCACAATACCTATATAGTTTTTAAGTTTCAATACTTTGCACTGACTTCGTTCATAAAACACCAACCCACAAATCTCGTCGGCTGCTCATGGAGGCTGAAAACTGAAGTTTTGATTGTAGTATCCACCTTCACATCCTAAACCTAACGAATGCACACATGCCTCCCGTTCCCTGCACTTTGAAAAGCTCTTTGTTTTGGTAAGCTGTTTCTCAATACTTGCGTCCTTAGGGAGTTGTTTCTTGATATCGGTGTAGGCTGACAATGGAAACAAAATTCCAGTATGATTTTGTTTGTCATCTGGATTGGCGTCGAATTCATCTTTCGAAGAAGAGACCAGTTTTTAGACAAGACAATAACTCTTCCTGTAGCTGCTTATATCGCCAGACCAAATTTGACAGCATGTTCTGAACCCATTTTTGAATTGGACTACTTGCTTCGGACTGCATTACCATGGTGTACTGGTCACAAAGCTTCATAAACAAGGGTAGGCAGTTTGCATCGTATAGGCATGATGGTGTGGTACTACATTCTTCTTTCTCCTTCAGGGTTGAGTTCATACGTCAATTCTTCTCAGTGGTGTTCCTTGACTTGTTGCTTGGTATTGGCAGTTTTGACCAGTAATTACATGAAAAAAGAGAACAAAGAGTAAATATGTGCTCTTACTTACAGCTTATTGTATTAAATTATTATGTCGTATAAACTAGTTCTTAAAGTACTTAATCCTATTTTAAGTTTGTTTGTTTAATTTTATTTTTCAACCTAGTTCAGAATATCATTTTTTTTTGTTCTTGACAGCAAGAGAGAATATAAAAATTTTATATGATTGGGCGTAAAACAAACAATAAACTTATATTTTCGTTGCAAATTTGTAGGATTTATGAACACTCCTACCTAATTTGTATGCCCTCTATCTCCTACCTACATTTGGGTTTATAATAATTTACTTTATTTCTTTTATTTTTTATATTAAGCGCTAAATAATTAACTCTAGTGGTTCAATACTTTTCGTTTCAAATTGATATTTGTCCTAGAGTTTGCGCGCAGTTAGGGTTAAATATCAATTTAAAACCTACACTAGGGGAGCTCCAATAATACATGTCATTAATAAAGACATCATTAATATTTTATGTTAAGAAAAACATATCTTTTTTCCAATTATTTCAATATTCCATCTTGATTTTTATTTTGAAGAAGACTAACTTGGGCATACAGAGTTGCCTTTCCAATACACGTATACACAATACTTATTCTATTTGTATGCATTCAATAGTTGCATTTATTTTATCCCCAGGAGATAGAGATAGGAGGTTCTGATTATCATTTGGCTCTAGATTATAATGAAATGTTCGATTTTCGCTAGATACGCAAGAGAGTTTAATATTTTTATTTTCATTGTTAAAATTACATCTATTTAAATTTAAACGCCTATTATTTTGCCTTTTTAACTTTATAAAGTAATGCCAAATACAGTAAATAACTAAACATAAAAAGAAAACAATGAAAAAAGTGCAAACTAGCCCAAAAGGTATGTCATGAGACGTGTCGTGATCAAGTTTCGCACCTTGACCGTGAACCATTTGAATTACCTATACTAGTTTCATTTACTAAATTATTTTTTTTTTTTTTTAAATTGTCTTATAACGATTTCGAGTAAATACATTTACTTAAAGACTGAGATTATACCTATTATAAATACGTTTGAAATTACGATTTTTTTAATTATTTATACTTCTGTCACATAAAATTACTGTGTCAGCTAATGGTATATATAGAAATTAGAAATATATCACTCGATTTTACCTATTTTATATATTGAATTAAGAAATCTAAAAAAAAATTTGTGTATGTTCAGACTTTTGACTAGATAATTAGAACGAAAATGTAAACTTAAATTCTACTTTTATCGGTTTTCCTTTTTCGGGTACCTATTCTTCGCATTTTACATTTAAGTTTGACTGTAAAATTTGACTATCTACAGCAATTCCAGGGAGGGTGGCTAGGGTGGATAATAATATCCTTTGCCATCATGACGTTTCGCTTCCTAGATATTATCTTTGTCCTATGTCTTCTTCTCGATGTATGCTCTTTCCATGGCATTGTATTATCTGTTTCAGGTTTATATTCTAAAACCTTTCGCTTTCTTGTAAATGGTAGTTCTTCATTTATGTTTTCTGACTCAATTATCGATTGAGGTTCAGGAAACTGTCTTTTTCTTCTTCTTCCAGGAATATTGTCAGAGGAAATAAATCTATTTTTTGCCTTATCTCTACTTAATATAGGCAAACTTGAGGAATTGCATTCTACTTCTAAGAGCTCATTCTGAATATTTTCTATTTTCGTACATTCTATTTTGCTAGGGAGGGTATTATCCCCATCCTCTACCTGCAAATATTCTCCAGCAACAGGGAGGGTATTATAGTCTTCCTCTGCCTGTGCATATTTCAACGCTACAGGGAGGGTATTATCATCTTCCTCTGCCTGCGCATTTTCTAAAGTGAGGAAATCCAACGTTTCCTCTTTATAGTCATTTACAAAATCATCCTCTTTTTTAAAAATATCCTCTTTTGACATCATTAAAATATTTTCCTCCTGGTTACTATACATTTCGTATGGGAGAGTATCCTGATTATCACAACATATATTATTTGACGACCTAGTTGATTGTGAAAAATTACTGTACTTAGATTGACCTGCATTGTTTATTCTATCTGAACCATAATTATTATTATTATTTATAAAACTAGTTCTGCCCTTTAAGTTCGAATCTAAATGATTAGTAAAATATTCATATTGAAAATCATCGCGCCTCTGACTGATATTTGAATTTACTTGCTGTGATTGTCTTTTATTTATATTAGAATTTTGAGAATGATAAGAATTTCTGGAATATGCTGATGTTTTGGATTCTAATAATATATCTTTTAAATCGCTTATTTTATAGATTATATTTTTCAAACTCTGGAAATTCATATTTTCGGTAAGCAGTAAATAATAATGGTAATTATACGATTCATGTAAACCATATTCGAATTGATCTTTAAAGATTTCAAAATTTACTTTACCATATATTTCATATGCAATTGATAGTAAATCGTAATAATAAGATTTTATATCTTCATTTTTTCCCTGTTTCCGTGTACGGAATTTAGATTTTAGTTTGCGTAGTGATATTTCACTTCCAAACTCTAAAATAAAATCTTTTTTGATATCGCTCCAGACTTTATTAAAATTATTTTTGTCATTAACATATTCCTTATACCATAAAAGCAGCGTTTTCTAAGTAACATTCTAAATATTTTATCTTAAAAGCATAATTCCAGCCATTCTTACTAGTTATTTTATCATATTCTCGAATAAAAGAAATTGGGCAGTCGATTGTAGGGTCAAAAGTAGGTGGCGGTATAAATTCCGGTAGAACAGGTGCTTTTACAAAAGACATTAAAATATATTTAAAAAAATCAATTTAAATAATAATAAAATAAATAAATTCTAAACTATCATTAAAATAATTATCGCTCAGTATATCATGTAATGAAATACATTTTTCAACACACACAGACGTACAATGCAGTTCTAACTAAGTCAGCAGTATTTGTAACACGAATTAAATAAATATGGTCGCTTCCTTCAACACTCATATTTCAAAATATTCCTAACAAGAATAATATTTTCTAGGTCAGTGTCATCCTTGATAATGATATTCAACCAACAGGTTAAATTCTACAGTTTAAATAACTGAAATAATAAAATTCTCATTTAAAAATTATATTTATCATTATATATTTATCATGGCAACACTAAAAATAATTTAAAATATACTGTCTATCAATATACTGGATGTCGTTTTATGTGTCCTTATAGAATAAAAATAAATAAATTATTCTCAATAATAAAAATTCTCAACATTCACAAAATTATTACCATATGCAGTGATTATTACCATATGCAGTAAAGAAAAATTAAACAATAAGGATTCGACAGCATTTTCTATCTAAATAGTGTAAAAATACTGGACATTTAAAAAAAAAAAATGTTCCTACGCATTGAATTTATAAATGGTAAAAATAAGTAAAACAAAACTAATATAAGAGATTCCTAAGTCTTAATATAAATTTTGCCATCTCCAATTATTATTAATACAATAAATTAAAATAAATAAAATAGTCCGTCCTACCAAATAATCAAGCATTTTAAATATATAATTATTTAAGTCAGTAAATGTAAAATAAAAGTACGAGCTTCTTTGTTGCTATCGAAGTATTAAAAAATTATTCATTTCGTATATGTTTTAGATTTATTTACACATATGGAGATGTGTAAGAAATTGTTACTTAATAAAAACCGGCGCCTCCACCACATATGTCACGGCCCATTTTGTGGGTTATGACTAGGGGCATAGCAAATAATAAATACTTCAATTTAACTTAATAATCAATTTAATTAATCTACGAATAATACAATAATTATAAACTAAATGTGTACTTACATATTATATTTATGGACGAACATCATCACTGGCTCGGGGGTAGTGTCAGGGTAGTGTAACGCCAATGCCGGAATCTCGACCGCGACCTTATCGAACTTACTATCGACTATCAACTATCCCCCCAACAGGTGACATTTTTGTATTTATTGGTTCGTTACGTCGAATCATCGAATCAGCATTATTGGTCTATCGGTGCGATGACCGGTGCGATGACCGCGTTAGTGCTGATTTGATGATTTTATAAATTCGTAGTATTGATAGGAAATATTTTCGCAATTGCCAATTATGCTTATAACTTTGATTTTTAAAACTTTACTTTTGTTGCGTAAATGCCAATGAACTTTAATTATTTTATACTTCCTTTCAATCGAATTATTAATTTACGAAATATATTAATATTAAATATGTTATTTTATATATCGAATAATTCCATCCTTGACAATATGTACTTGATATGTGCTATACGTCGATACTAGATTTGTGTGTTTTGTTAACGTTTTAATACGTTTTTTTCGTAATTAATTAGTATGATACGACAGGACACACCAGAGGCGTAGTGAAAACATTTACCAAAAATATAAATATCGCTTCAAGCGGCTATGTTAAGAAAAATATGTGCCACGGCACTGTTAGGAAGAATGGTCACAGTTTGGTCTCGGTTGCTATTTGTCCTTGTATTCTTTAGTCATTGATTATCATATCTATCATACCAAATTTCGTTTTCTATCTGAAAAAATAAAAAAGTTATAGGGGTGAGCCACTTTTGAGACGCACCCGGCATATAATAAAAATTCCCGATTATTGGTTTACGTTTCTGAAACCGTCAAAAAATCCACGTACCTAGGGTTAATTTGTATTCAGTTGTATTTGTAACAGTTGTAAAATAATATGTAGTAATGTAACCGATAGTAGTAGTGCAGTAGAACCTGCAGTTATTTTCATAACTATTATTTTTTAAAGTAACAACAGTTGCCTTGTTATTTCTGGATACTTTGTAGAATTAGCAGTTATTTTCATAACCGTTATTTTATGAATGTAACAAATGTTGCGTTTTATTTCTATATAACAGATTTTTTTAAATAATATTCTTTTTCTAACGTATATTAGGTTCTGGACAGGCCTGGATTCTTTGTAGAACCTACGATAGTAACAGGGATCGCTCACGATAGCAAGATCGTGAGAAACGAATGTTTCGCCCCGATATTGTACGTACTTAAAGCAAGAAACGTCGAGGAAGCCATCGCATGGAACAACGAAGTACCTCAAGGCTTGTCCTCCAGTATTTTTACTCAAAATATTCCTGATATTTTTAAGGTAAACGGTCTTTTTCAAACAGTTAAGAGTTTACAGATTTTATTGTACTTTTCAGTGGATAGGTGAGAAAGGTTCAGACTGTGGCATAGTAAACGTCAATATTCCCACTTCCGGCGCGGAAATAGGTGGCGCTTTTGGCGGTGAAAAACACACGGGTGGTGGTAGAGAATCAGGCAGCGACTCGTGGAAACAGTACATGCGCAGGTCTACCATAACAATCAATTACTCGAAAGAACTGCCTTTGGCGCAAGGCATCAAATTCGAATAAACACATATTACATAATATCACTGAATAAAAAGACTAAGGAAGAAACATATCAACAAAATTAGCGAGACCACGAAAGTACTTTAATAAGCCTAACTTATGCTTTGAATAAGAAGACTAAGTGTGACTAAGACCCACCATGCATGGTGGGCGGAAAAAGCACTCTAGGGTGGGGATCCTTGACAGTTCTGTTTGACGATTCATTTGACACATTTGAATTTGATTTGAAATTTGTGGATTTGTCAGTCTTTACGGAGCTTATTTTATGTTATTTATTATTTATTCTACTACTGATAGTTGTATAAAGGTAGTAAATCTAGATGGAAATTGTGGCAGAACTTAAATTAACAGTGACACTATCGCGATTTATCGAAAAAGACTCTAAAATAGTTGGTTGTGTAGCGTGCGGTAGATCTCGGCAAAAATTGAGTGAAATAATGGAACAACTTTTCGCTAGTAAGTGACTATATAATATACATACATGTAGTAAACCGATCATTTATGAAATTCACTTAAATTAACTAAATTACATATTTTTCTTGCATTTTAGCTTTTATTTATTACTTGTCAAAGATTAGATGTCAAAGCATTTAGATACGTTAATTTGACTTACCTGCTTCAGTAGCGTATCGGATGTTTGTGTTAATAAATACTTATTATAACTTATCTATTTTTATTAGAATTATATATTTTTATAACAATTTTAATAACTACCAACATTTATTCACAACGTAAAATAAAACAACAAATTATTGGTTTGGTTTGCCCTTCCCACGTCTACCCTACATCATAGTTTTACATTTTTTAAATAAAATTAGAACGACACTGATAAACCGGAATTTAAGTCGGCCATATTTGAGGCCCATCGCGGTGTACCTAAGATTTTTGATATGCTCCTTCCTTAGTCTTCTTATTCAAAGAACTTATGTATCGGTCTCTCAGTGGCGTTGTATTTTTTTCTTGTAGAATGTGTTAAAAATAAAGTCGGGTAGACTCAATAATTTGCAGGTTTTGATTTGCGTTGAGTCAACAAATATTATTTAAAATAACAGATAAATTAATTATTTAATAACAAAATAACAGTGAAATTCTAACTAGTCATAACCCGTTATAACTCAAGAAAGGGGAACACACAATAGATCTGTAAGGGCGCGGTGATTGGTTAGGTTGACTCCTAAACATTCTACATAATTGTTTAAACAATTTCATATGTTACAAATAATATTAAAATATTTAAAAGTAATACCGTATGATCCAGAAAAAAACGGAATTAGAAAACGGATATATTATTACGGAAAAATCCGTAAGAACGATAATGGAGTTTGAGAAGTTAAGGTATTATGATTGTAATCGGAGTTGTAAGTAATATAATATTGTAATAATAATACCGTATGATAGAAAAAAAAACGGCGTTAGCGATGCCTATGAAATGAAGATCGCTGTCATTTTATATGTAAATTTAAATGGGAAATGTCATCGAACGTCATTTCCCAGCCAACTGGACGCCGTTTTTTTTTTCGATCTTATATATCGATAAACTATGACACTCGTTGAATTTGACACGTTATGTCAGTTTAATAATATATTTTCATACTTTTATGCTTAGGCGTAAAAGTGCGCGCTTTACTTTTATACCTAGGCGTTAAAATGGTTATTATATTGTCAATCACGTCGCAAAAATTAATACTTCCGGGACCTTTGAAAAAAAACATAGTTCTAAACAAAGTTTGTAGATCTACTGTTCTATCTACTAGTCAGGGAGCGAAACTAGAAATAACTATTTATGAAGGCTCTTTTTAAGATTCGCAATGTATTATAAAACAGCAAAATAACTTAACAAAGAATATGAAGGCTCAACAAACCTGCAAACAAATTCAGATGCGTCAAGGAGAACGTCAAACAAAACTGCCAAAGAAGTGTTCTCATGACATCGTTTCCGGTTTCAATGCATGAATATAAAAATAGAAATACGCTCTCCAATCTTAGTCTTTTTATTCCTGGCATAATATATAAATAAATATCCGGTAATATTCTAATATTCTGACTCACAGTAATAAAAAATAGATTACGTTCAATCAAAAAGCAAATTGATATTAAATAGAATAGTTAGTTTATTAAATAATTGAATAACTTTGTATTAATAGAAAAATAACACTCCATACAGTACAACTTTTTAAAACAATCTTTAAAACTATGTATCTTTCTTTTTGTTATTTTGCAAAGCGACCTGCTCTAAGCTCTGAAAGAATATTTATATTTTATTTTCAATAAGTTGAATCTAATTTCTTTTAAATCTGTTTGCACAAAGGTTGGATTACAAAGCAACTACTTTATTGTATTAAATATATTTAAAGGCTGTTTGTATTCTTTTTTATATAATATACGTTTCAGAAAATCTCAATTAACATAAATATCTTTTAATCACGCGAAAAATGTCGACAAAAATCAACACATATTTGGATATATTTATATACCTAAAAATATTATATTCAATAACGAATAAACTATTTTTGTATTTTTTATATATGTAATTCCGATACAAAATTAAATATATTATGTATTATTAAAAAGCTAATGAAGTTTTATTTCATTAAGTTTTAAACCTTATTTTTATATTACCCCAGTGCAGTTATGATATTTACCATGTTGAAATTGCAAAAATTTTTAGAAAGCTGCGACTATTGAATATAGTTAGTATTAGTAACCCTTATTAACATACTAAAAGTCCCCATTTGTCCGGTGTGTGCGTCATCAAAAAAAATCGGCCGCTATCTTGAATTTTTGTACTTTTTGGGAAAAAATGTAAATAACTCGAAAACGGTGCGTTATAGCGAAAAACTTCAAGAGATAAAAATTAAAGAGAATAAAAAACTCTACCAGAATTAATAAAAGACAGTTTATTATCATAACGCGTAAAATTTTTTTGAAAATCGAGCAATTTTTAAAAGGAATCACCGAAATGCAAATTACTAATTTTTTAAGCTTATTAACAAATAACATGAATATTTAGCATCAATTCAACTAAAATACAATCCTTGTGACATTTCCAAGAAATATTTATTGGTTGTTTAATAATATTTGAAAATTAACAAAAATTGTAAAAGTGTATCCTTTACTAAATACATGAGTACTAATAATGTGCGAAAGATGCCTCCACCTTGTCCCGATCGGGGCTATTTGCACTTAAACCAAGGTCTTTTTGTTACCATTTTGTGAACAACTTGTTTTTAAAAATACAGTGACAGTTTGAAAAATTAGGCTACAGATACTGATTTGTTAGTTTTATTACTGTATTATCGGACAAAAAATTCTATTTTTATGCTTCGGCCTGGAAAATCATCCAAACCTCACAGAGTAACTGACATCGGTAATATGCAGAACAAGATTGGTGACATGAAGCATTCACTCTTATTTGCACATGCTATATGAGGATGTGATACAACCTCGTGCTTGTTTAAAAAAGGTAAACTGGCGACTTTCAAAACGTTGCAAAGATAGTAATGTATGGCAATCGCTTCTTTGATTTTAAAGAACAATAGATACAACGAGATAAATAAACATAACATACGTAAAATTTAAAAATAATCATACAGAAAGTTTGAGGCTTTTTGGTTTTACCTTATTAAGTAATCTTATTAAGTAAATTTTGAAGTTTAAATATCAAGCTGTGTATCAAGTTAAAAATGTCATTTTAACAGAACGTCAACGGTTTCTTGTAGACCATAGACAAACAAATAAAAAGAGACCGACAAATCTCATGGTAAAGAGTGGGACCGCGTTCCCGTAGCGCAACTCAGAATAACAATTTTGAAACCAATTAGCATGACCATGGCAGGACGTACGTCTTTATTGCTCTCTTTCTTTATTATGTGTGCTTTATATGAAAAAGAAAGAGATAGGTATAAAACCTTATCACATTATCGCACATTCTGGCTAGCGGAAAATTTAAATTAGTCATTATTAGTATAGTATTCTTTCATTCTGAAACTGAAAACTTTCACTTAAACTGATTTATATATTCCCTATACCACGTAAAGGGAACGTGGTGTAGGGTGGTGTGCAAAGATCCTCATCTGCGACAAATTACATCCATTTTTTTAGATCCTGCAGCACAAAAATCTGAGCTAGTCGAAGCTGGAAATACATTCTTATTTTTATTATATGGTCGACATAGGCTAGCAAAAGATTTAGATCAGTTGAGGTATTATAAATATAAAACCCTTACATCTCATCAGGTACTTAATAAAAATTTTGATTTAGCTACTTTACCTCCAATAACTAACGCAGCTGAAAATCATTATTATATATCATTTACAAATGCAGTATGGGCTAAATAACGGAAAAGAGGCAACAGAATGGGGATGGACTAAAAAAACGGATACCTTAGTTCCAAAAACAACGTCAAACGCAGTAGCACCAGAATTTGTATTGAAAATGATTTACTGTAATTGCAAATCTGGATTTAATAAACTATGTACATGTTTAAAATCCAATATGCCATGTTCAAGCTTGTGTGGTAACTGTAATAATATTTCTTGCGACAACAAACAAATCTCGGTCGATGAAGAACAATTCGAATAAAATTGTAAACTTCATTTTTTTTTCTAGAGATGACAATTTGAAAAGTTAGGTTACAAGTTGGTAAGGCATTTTTATTAAAATGGTCATAATTTGAATTATTGTTATTCGATTTGTAGGGGTATGTTTATAATGTATTTATCATAATGAAAAAGTGTTAAGATCGTAGATGATATTTATGTCAAAAAGACATTCGCAAGTACTTTACATTTTATTTTTTCCTTCCAACCTGTAGCCTAATTTTTCAAAATGTCACTGTATGTATTTTTAAAAACAAGTTGTTTACAAAATGGTAACAAAGAGACCTTGGTTTACGTGCAAATAGCCCCGACCGGGACAAGGTGGAGGCTGCTTTCGTACATTATTAGTACACATGTATTTAGTAAAGAATAGCTTTTACAATTTTTGTTAATTTTAAAATATTATTAAACCACCAATAAATATTTCTTGAAAATGTCACAAAGATTGTATTTTAGTTGAATTGATGCTAAATATCCATGTTATTTGTTAATAAGCTTAAAAAATAAGTAATTTGCATTTCGGTGATTCCTTTTAAAAATTGCTTGATTTTTAAAATAAACTATTTTTTATTGATTCTGGTAGAGTTTTTTATTCTCTTTAATTTTTATCTCTTGGAGTTTTTCGCT